AATGAATTAGGCATAACTGACACGCACTGAATCCTCCTGTCTAGACATCTGCAGAGAAGTGACAAGCTGCCAGGGAGGATGTGGAGCCTCAGCAAGGGGGTGGGGAGGACAGGGAAAAGCTGCACTCAGCTGCCAGCTCCAGGCACAGGCAAGGAGGGCTCTCGGCACCCTGACCTGGACACGTGGAAATGGAGCAAAGAATGGGCCCAGAGCAGCTCCTCCCAGCCCCTCCTGGGCCCTGCTGCAATCGCCACTGTCTCCTAATTACAGCCTGGCTCCTCGTTATTCCCTGGGGAGTTTTGCTGGGAAGCTCCAACTGCTCTCAGTCACCCCAAAAAGGGAGCACGAGGCAGAGGCTCAACGCCCTGGGACATTCTCACATATCAGGGGGATGAAGAGCACCCTCACCATCCTCATCCCAGTGCCCACAGCCGTGTCCTCACCTCCCCCAGGCAGCAGCTCCTCCAAACTCAGCCTTTGTCCTGCAGCTCCAAGCAAGGCTCCATGCTTGAGGGGTTCCGAGGCATCTGCGCCAAGATTTGGGTCATTTTCAAGTGATGGGTGGTGAGGGTCAGCACTGAGGAGGTGTGGGACTGCTGAACTGCCGGGCTGGGGAGGACCCAGGAGTGGGAATGGATTCCTGCCAGAAGGTGCAGGTGCCTGCTGCACTGGGCTGGACTGCAGCTCCCAGAGCCCAGCACAGAGCACACCAAAAGCTGAGCAGGACGAGCCCTGTGGCTCTGAGAGGAGCTGCAAATGTGGGTCATGTCCTGATTCCCCTGCCCAGCGTCCCCAGCAGCAGAGCTGGGCACAGCTCTGGTCACCAGTGGGCATTGCTGGCTCAGCCCTCTCACACCACGGGCAGGGATGGTTCCCAAAGCTTCCTCCAGCCCACACAGACCAGCCCAGCTCTGCAGCTCCTGCTCTGAACCAGCTCTGAGCTGCTCTGGAGCAGTGGGAAAGTCATTCCAAGGCAGGAAACAAAAGGATTCCCTCCCATCTCCTGGCCAGCAGCAGCACAGGCCACATCCCCAAACACTGAGCTATGTGACACCATGGCCTTGAGCTCGGTGGCACAACGAGGGCCTGCCAAGGCCAGCAGGTCCCAGCCCTTGGGAACTGCAGCTGGAGGAGCTCAAATTCCTGTGCCTGAGGAGCCACATCCTCCAGGGATGGTTGCAGCAGCCCAGGAGAGCAGATGGAGCCTCTCAGGCCTCCCAAACCCGGGCTGTGCCCCAATCCAGGAGGCAGCACTGGGGCTTCAGTGGGGCTGCTGAAATGGAGCAAAGCAGGGCCCAGAGCAGCTCCCCAGCAGCTCTGCACATGGTGTTCATGAAATACAGCAAAGAATGGGCCCAGAGCAGCTCCCCGGCAGATCTAGAAATGGCTGTTCATGAAATGACCAAAGAATGGGCCCAGAGCAGCTCCCCAGCAGATCTGCACATGGTGTTCATGAAATACAGCAAAGAATGGGCCCAGAGCAGCTCCCCAGCAGATCTAGAAATAGCTGTTCATGAAATGACCAAAGAATGGGCCCAGAGCAGCTCCCCAGCAGCTCTGCACATGGTGTTCATGAAATACAGCAAAGAATGGGCCCAGAGCAGCTCCCCGGCAGGTCTGGAGCTGCTGTTCCTGACATGGAGCACAACGAGGGCCCACAGCAGCTCCCCAGCAGCTCTGGAGATGGCTGTTCATGACACAGAGCAGGGAATGGGCCCACAGCAGCTCCCCAGCAGATCTGCACATGGCTGTTCATGACACAGAGCAGGGAATGGGCCCAGAGCAGCTCCCCAGCAGCTCCCCAGCCCTTCAGAGGACGCCTGCTCTGATTTCCAGGCCGTCTCCAGCACCAGGCTGGCACAAGGCAGCGGGGCAGATGGTCACTGTCTGTGCTGGCAGAACAAAGCCCTCCCAGTGCCACCCCCACGGAGCTGCCCCGGGCTGGCAGCAGGCACTGGGACCCCCCAGCCCCCCGAGATGCCCGGGAGCTGCTCCCTGTGCGTGCTGGGCTCCCCAGCCAAGGGAGCAGGTGCCTGGTGCGCCTGCCAGCGCCTGGTGTGCTCTGAATTAGCTGCTCTCCGCTGTGATTCATTAATCACTCGGTGCTCAGGAAGGAAACTCGCATCTCTACACCGAACATCTCCCCGGGTCTTACTCACTGCTCTGCTGAATAAAGGGTTTCCAGCAGATGTTCGTGGGCCAGGGAGAAACTCGGGGTGCAGAGGGAAAGGGGTTTGCTTTGAAAACCATAGGGTTTTCAACCCTGAGGGGTCAGTGAGCCCCAAAACACCAAACTTGTAACAAATCAGCGTGAGTGAACCCAAAGCATCAAACCTGTAACAAACCAGCATGAGTGAACCCCAAAACATCAAACCTGTAACAAAACCAGCATGAGTGAACCCCAAAACATCAAACCTGTAACAAAACCAGCACCAGTGAGCCCCAGAACACCAAACCTGTAACAAAGCAGCATGAGTGAACCCCAAAACACCAAACCTATAACAAACCAGCATCAATGAGCCCCAAAACATCAAACCTGTAACAAACCAGCACCAGTGAACCCCAAAACGCCAAACCTGTAACAAACCAGCACCAAACAACAAAGAGCACCCACAAACATCCACGTGTTGCTGAATCACCCCAGAATCACCTCCAGCAATGCAGAGCCCCCCGGAACAATGCTGTGGGACAGCAGGAAGTGACAGCAGAGCTGCACAGAGAGCCACCAAAGCAAGGCCAGAGCTCCTGCGGGCTGGCACAGTGCAGGGACAGGCAGGGACAGGCAGGGACAGCCAGGGACAGCCAGGGACAGCCACCCTGTCCTTCCCTGCCGAGGTGCAGGGCTCTGCTCCCCGGAGAGGGAGGTTTTGCTCAGCCAGCAGAACCAGCCCAGCTGCCAGCCTGGCCTGAGCTGCAGGGCCAGCTCCAGCCCCAGCTCCAGCCCCAGCAGCGATGCTGAGGCTCAAGGAGAGCCCTCTGCCCCGGCAGCCACTGCAGAGGCCACCAAAAAGCTGCGTCCCACAAGTTTCCAGGAAGGAAAACGCCTCTCCCCGTGCCCTTCGCTGCCAGCCCCGAGCCCCCAGGGCAGGGGACACCCCGGAGCCGCGGCTTTCCCATTCCAATGGGATCCGGCAGCACTTGGCAGAGGGCAGGCAGGGAGGGCACAGGGATGCTGCCGGCCCGGGGTGATGCAGAGAGAGCGGCCGCAGGGCTGGGCAGGGCACCGGCCGCTCCGAACCCCTGCGGATGTTCGGGAACCACAGCGGTTGTGCCAAAGCCTTCGGAAGGGGCGGCGGGGTACCCCGAAAGGAAACTGGCTCTGCGAGGAGGGATGGGCAGGGGCAGCGCCGGCTGCGATGGAGCGGCGGCTCCTCCGGGGTACCCCTATCATCCCCGGGGACCGCTCCGTTACCGTGCCCCCATCCCGTTATCGCTCCGGTGTGCCCCATCCCCGGTGTTCCCCCATCCCGTTACCCCTCCGATATTCCCCCATCCCCGGTGACCCCTCCGGTGTTCCCCCATCCCGTTACCCTCCGCTCCCGCTCCTCCCGCGGCCGGGCCCTGCGGGAAGAGGGGCAGCGGGAGAGAGAGAGAGGAGGAAGAAGAGGGAGAGGAAGAGGCAGCCGGAGAGGAAGAGAAGCGGAGGCGCGGGCGGCAGGGCCGTGCCCCGGCGGTACTCACGGCTCCGGGGCGGCCACGGCCCGAGCCGGGCGATGCTGCGGGTCCCGCTACACCCGCAGCGGCCCCGCGCCGGGGATTCGGGGCGGGCCGGGGGCGGGCAGGTGCGGCGGCGGCTCCGGGGCTGCGGCTTCCTCCGTCACCCGGAATAACCCCGCGGCGGCCCGGCCCGGCCCGGCCCCGCACGTGTGGCCGTGTGTCCGTGTGGCCGTGTGTCCGTGCGCGGGCCCAGCGCTCCGAACCCAGCGGCACCGGCCCCGCTGCGGGCCCGGCACGGGCACCGGCACCGGGGGCGGGGCCAGCGGCCGGGGGCGGGGCCAAACGGGGAATGAGGCGGGGCCATGAGCAGAGGCCACGCCCCCGCTGCCGAGCGCCGCACAAAGGGTGAGGGGCGGGGCTAATGCGGGGGCGTGACCAGTGCTGGTAGGCGTGGCCTGAGGGGTGTCCGGAAATAATCTATGCAGGGAAAGAGTTTTGGGGTCGTGGAGCGCAACCTGGGGCCGAGAGCACCTTGTCAACACCCAGAGCACCGAGTGCCACCTCCAGCGATGGGGACTCCCAACGCCTCGCTGTGCAGCCCCTGCCAAGGCCTGGTCAGCCATTCCACTGAGAAATTCCTGCTGGTGTCCAACCTCAAACCAGCCCTGGTGCAGCTTAAAACTCCGTCCTTGTGTCCTGTCACTTGTTATGTGGGCAAAGAGACTGACCACTACCTGGCTACAGCCTCCTGTCAGGTTGGTGTGCAGGGTGAGAAGGTCCCATCTGAGCCTTCTTTTCTCCAGGCTCAGCTGCTTCATAGAACATGTGGTGCAGACCCTTCCCCACCTCCATTCCCCTTTGTTGGACACACTGCAGCCCCGCAGTGTCCTTCTAGTGGACACACTGCACCCCAATATCCTTCCAGTGGACACACTGCACCCTGATACCCTCCCAGTGGACACACTCCAGCCCATCAATGCCCTTCCAGTGGACACACAGCATCACAACCCTCTTCCAGTGGACACCCTGCAGCACCCCCAGTGTTCTCCCCGAACTGAGGGGCCCAGAGCTGGTCAGGGCACTCGGGGCACGGGCTCTGCAGTGCGGAGAAGGGAGACGATCCCATCCTTTCCCTTCCCTTTCTTCGCTGGTCCCGATCCTGCCCCGGAATATTCCCGGGACAGAGGGATCGGTGGGCGGGGCGGGGCCAACACAGAGGGGCGGAGCCAGTGTTGTTATGGGGCGTAGCTAAACCCGAAAATAATGTGAATTTACATATTTATGGGCGTGGTCTTATCGCCCCGCCCCGGCCGCGCTGCACGCCGGGACCGGAAGTGGCGGCCGCGTGGCGGAGGCAGCATGGCGGCCCCCGGGAGGAGGTGAGCGCGGCACCGGACGGGAGCCGGGAGCGGGTCCAGGAGGGGCCGGACACGCCGGGATGGGCCTTCCCCTCGCACACGCTCCTTTCCCCCCTCATACTCTTTTCTCCCCCGCAGAAAACTGGAGGAGCTGAGCCTGGACGAGTTCCTCGCTGCCGGCTCGGACTCGGAGCATGACGGCGGCTGGGAGGATGAGGAGGAGGAGGAGGAAGGCGGCCGGGCCCTTAATGGGACTGCGAGGCAGAGGCGGCCGAGCGGGAAGGCGGCCCAGGGGCTGCAGGCACGGCCGGGCAGGTGAGAGGCGCTCAGCCGGCACAAAAGGAGATTTTTCTGCTTTTCACAGCTCCCTGACAGGAGGGGACAGCCCCAGGCGGGGCTCTGCTCCCAGGGAACGGCCTCAGTGTCACCAGGGCAGGCTCGGGGGGACATCAGCAGGAATTTCTCCATGGAAAGGGTGGTCAGGCCTTGGCAGGGGCTGCCCGGGGAAATGATGGGGTGCCCATCTCTGCAGCTACTCTGAGGAACTGAGAAACAGATTTGTGATGGTTTTTCCCTGTGTTTCCATCTATCCCACTGCAGTCTGGTATCTTGCTGTCAAGATTTCTTAATCCTTAACGAAATGTTTTTGTCCCAGCCTCAGCAGAGCTCCGAGCAGTGAACAATTAATGAACAGTTAATGAACCATTCATTCTGTCCCAGCAGGAAGAAGGGAAAGGCGTCAGAGCACAAGGATCAGCTCTCCAGGCTGAAGGACAGAGACCCCGAGTTTTACAAGTTCCTGCAGGAGAACGACCGCAAGCTGCTGGACTTTGATGCCTCGGACAGCTCAGAGGAGGAGGAGGCTCTGCACAGACCCCCTGACACCCTGGAGGTACCTGCTGGCATCACACACCTCGGTGCCGTGGGCAGTGTTTGTGTTCCTGAGTGATTTGGGCTGCAAAGGGACTTGGAACTCATCCTGCTCCGAGCCCAGGCTGCCCCAAGCCCTGCCCAGGCTGGCCTTGGGCCCCTCCAGGGCTGGAGCAGCCCCAGGGTCCTGTGGCAGCCTCACAGGGAGGATTCATTCCCCACATCCTGGGCTGTCACCCCGTCGGGTGTTCATTCCATCTGGAGCATCCCTGCTTGGCACAGGGTGCTGGGGCAGCGCTCCCAGTCAGCCCTGCTGCCTCCTCACAGTGCTCAGTGAGAGCTGGGCCAGCCAGGGCTTGGGGAAACCCTTCAGCATTAATTCAGTCCCTCCTGCTGCTCTCTCTAGGAAGCCAGTGACGAGGATGAAGATGATGAGGACGAAGAGCAAGAAAAAGTCAAAAGGAAGAAAGTTTCCCTCATCCATGTGAGCTTGAAGATGGTGGAGGAGTGGAAGAAAGCTGCCCAGGTGAGCAGGGAGTGGGAGCACACAGCACTGGGGGGTTCTCCTCCCTGCCTGTAAAAGGGCCAGCTTGGGGTTTGTTTTCATGTGCCACAAAGTTTATTTATTTATTTGTTCGTGTGGCAGAAAATTTATTTATTTGTTCATCTTGCACAAAATTTATTTGTTCATCCAGCACGAAAATTATTTATTTATTTGTTTATTTATTGGTTCATCTGGCACAAAATTTATTTATTTATTGGTTCATCTTTCACAAAATTTTTTTGTTTGTTTATCTTGCATAAAATTTATTTATTTATGTATTTATTTATTTATTTATCTGTTTGTTTGTTCATCTGGCATAAAATTTCTGTCCCCAGCCCCCAGAGCTCTTGTGCCTTCGGCTTGACTTTGGGCTGTAAAATTCGAGTGCTGCCATCTCATATGAGGGGGAAGCTTCAGAAGTGTGGCTCAGAAGAGGCCAGAATGATCAAATTTGGGGTTTTTACCCTCTGGCAGCAGCTCCAGGAGCTTTCTTAGTCCCATCTATTCCCTCAACATCCCCTTTTCTTCTCTCCCCAGAGGAATCTCACCCCAAAGCTCTTCCATGAGATCACCCAGGCCTACAAGGCAGCCGTGGCCACCACCAAAGGGGACAGTGGCGGTGACCCCAGCAAGTTCCAGGTGACTGACACTGCAGGTGAGGGAAGGGGACTCATCTGGGGGAGTTGGGATGAGCCCTGGCAGGAGTTATTCGCCCTTTCAGTGCATCCAGGAGCTTGTCCTGCTCTGCTGCTCTGGGAGCTTTTCCTTCCAGGGTGGCTTTGGTGCTGTTTCCTTGGGGAGGGGGCCCCTGTGCCTGCTGATCTTTGATGAAAAATGGAATGTGAGGCAGACTGGGGGTTTCTAGAAGGAAATGCAGGAGTTCTGCCGTGGAAATCACTGGTTTCAGTTCCTCGGGGGCCCCTTTTCCCATGAGGAATGCCAGAATTCGTGGAAAATCACTTACAGTGCTTTCCTGCCTTGTTTCACCCAGTGTTCAACGCCCTGGTGTCCTTCTGTATCCGGGACCTGTTCCACCTCCTGCACAAGCTGCTGCTCCCCAAAGCCCCCAAGAACAAGCTCAAGTGAGTCTGGGGGGTTTGGGATGTTCAGGAATCTGGGGGGGTTCCAGAGCTGCCTTTGGGCCTGGGGAAGGGGTGCCAGCTCATCCAAACACTGAGTGCCTGCTGCTGCTCACAGGGCTCTCCTGTGCTTCCCCCAGGGAAGAAGGAATTGATCTCACTGCTCGTTTTGCGGCTGAAATCTGATTTATTTGGGGTTTTTTTTAAAGCTAAACCCAACTCTTGCTCCTTTCCAGAATGGTTCTCCCTTCCACCAGCCCCCTGTGGGGAAAGCTCCGACTGGACATCAAAGTTTACCTTGGCTGTACCATACAGGTAAGAGACATGATCATTTTCTGGTTGTGGGTCACTCTGTGCCTTGCTGGGCTGTTTTGGGGTGAGGCAGGTGGGGTTTGCCCCTCTGAGATTTGTGTTCATTGTTTCCTTGGGTTGTTTTGGAATTACTTGGTCCAATTAACAATTTGGAGCTTCGGAGGATGCTTGGGTCGGAGTAGGTAAGGCAGTAAAGAAGGGTTGAATTAACATTCTGGCAGCTCTCTCTGTTTTAATTTGTCTGGCAGATTAATATTTAATAGGCTTTAAAGGAGTTTGCAGTCTGTGTTCTGCATTCTGCATCATTAATTCAGTTTTTGGTGCTGTGATCTCTGCACTTGAGGCAAACACTGAGATGTTCTCTTGGTGATCTCACATGAGGCATCTCTGACTATGACAGAGTTCCATCCCACCCATGCAGAATTTCTGGTGTTTCAGAGATGATTTATGGATTATTTCTGGAGGAAACTCCTGCCCCCACTTAATTTTATTTTGAAATTGCTTTGTTAGCATCCCCAAATTGGAATATTAAAACCAAACCAACGCTGATTCTTGAGCACTGAGGGAAGGGATGCCAGGAGTGACAACCAGGAGCTGCTGCTGTGCCTCAGCTGGGAGCTGGCACAATGACTTAGCAGAAAGAGCAATTGGATCAGGAGAGCTTTTTGCTTTTTCTTTTTTTTCCTCTCAAGCTGTGGTGCCTCTCTCCAGCAGCAGAGCATTGCAGACAGGGAAAAGCTGGGGATGCAGTCCCTGGGAATGCAGTCCCTGGGAGCAATCCCTGCTCCTGGGCTGCCTCCTGAGAGCCCTCAGCCCCAGCCTTCACCACTGTGGGTTTTCTGGCACCATTTCTGAACAAAATCTTCTCCTTTTGGTGTCCTTGGCCAAGTCTGCTCAGTCCAGAATCCTTGCGGAGCGAGGAGGAGGGTGAGGAGGCAAATTAAATGCGGACAAAATGCCTGTGCTGCCTCAGCAGCTGGGGCTGCATCAGGCAGAGCCTCTCAGAGTCACCTGGAGCTCACCTTGACTCCAGACTGGAATCTGGCTTTGCTGCAGTGAGCTGAGCTGGACAAGCTGCACACACACAGATTTGGCTCTTCACATTTTGTCAGAGCCTTTCCTTGAGGGAGAGGTGACCCAAATACCCAAAGAGCTCCAGCTTCCCACCCAGAAATCCTGGAGAAATCCAGCAACTGCCAGGCGGCTCAGGTGATGTTTCCTTGTGCAGACTGGGGGGGAGTTGGGCCATTCTGGTGTCCAGCTCTGCAGATAAAGTGGAGCCCCCAATCCCAGGCTGAGGGACCTGCAGGGCAGCTCTCACCCTCTGCCCTGGCCATTCTGGTGTCCTGCTCTGCAGGTAAATGGGATTTTGCAGTGTCCATGCAGGAGGTGCTGTGTGGTGAGCCCAGGGGCCGTGAACCATGCAGGGACAGCACCCTGAGCCCCAGTCCCAGGCTGAGGGACCTGCAGGGCAGCTCTCACCCTCTGCCCTGGCCATTCTGGTGTCCTGCTCTGCAGATGAAGTGGAGCCCCATTCCCATAGTGAGGGTCCTGCAGGGCAGCTCTCACCCTCTGCTCCTGCCCTGATCCAGCTGTGGGGTTTGTGTGAGCTCCTTCCTGGCCGAGCAGTGTTGGGAACCAGTGAAATGCAGCTGGCACAGGAGGGTGACAGCCCTGCCTGCCAGCTGGGGTGTTTCTTTCTCCTCCTCAGCTGCTGTCCTGCCTGACAGAGGCCTCAGTGGGTGCAGCAGTCCTGCAGCACGTGAGCTCCACAGTCCCATACTACCTGTCCTTCCCCAAGCAGTGCCGGGCCCTGCTCAAGGTAAGGGCACGGCTGGGATGTGCCATTGGCCTCTGAGGTGCTTTTCCCTCCTTCAGCTGAGCATTTGTGGTGTTTGGGCTGCATCCCCTGGCAGGCAGTGTTCTGTAGAGTTCCCTGCTTTGCAGCTGTTCCTGCAGAGCGTTCCTGCCTCTGCAGGTGCCACGGGGGGATGCCAGGCTGAGGTGGCTGTGGGGGTGGCTCTGTTTGGTGCTGCTGCTCCCCAGGGAGGTGTTTTGGGAAGCTGCTTCCTCCTCCCAGACGGAGGGATTGCTGCCAGGCCCTGGGAATGCCTGTGCTGGGGGTGGAATATTTCTGTGGCAGCTCAGCCTCAGCCGCTGAGCGTGAGCAGCAGCACAGGAGGCGTGGGGGACACAGGGGCAGCAGGGTGGCATTGACTGCAAACTGCAGCTCTGCAAGCAGCCAGGGGAGCCTTTGGTGCTGGAGATGGCTGGAGTCAGGCAGGGCTGGAGGCTGGCACTCCTCCCAGCTGCTGCAGGCATTTCTGAGAGGGCTCTTCCAGCCCTGCACTGAGCCCCCTCTGTGCTGGGCCCTTCACTGGTGCAGCCGAGCTGTCTGGGTGTGGGGGCACCCGGTGCTCCTGGGGGAGATGGAGCCGCTCAGGAGAGGTCAAATGTGTGTTTAACCGCACAAATGAAAGCTGAGTATTGTTTAGAGGGGCTGGGTTTGGACAGGTTCCTTAATTGACCATGGGAACATCAGCCTGGGCTGTGTGTGTGGTGTCCCGGCCAGAGTGTGAGGACAGGAGGGCTGCCAGTGACTGACTGACAGCACGTTGTGTCACCTCTGTGTCACCTCTGCCGGGAAAGGAGGGAGGTTCAGGCCTGTGTGTGCCTTCGCTCACCTGTGTCTGTGTTTTGTCCCAGCAAACCATCACTCTGTGGAGCACAGGGGAGGAGACAGTCAGGGTCCTGGCCTTCCTGGTGCTGAACAAGATCTGCAGGCACAAGAAGGAGGTTTACCTCAGCCCCCTGCTCAAGGTAAGCCTGGCTTTGCTGAGATCTGCACCTTTTCTTCCTCAGGTTGTGTGCATATACCTCAGAGCCTTGAGCTGCAGCTGAGCAGGCGCTGGAGGTGATGCAGGCAGCCTCCAGAGACCCAAAGAGGGCAGAAATTGTCACACTGGAAGGGGCAGAGAACTCCTATTTTACACACTGCTTTCTCATCCTCTTCCCCCTGCAGCAAATGTACATTGCCTTTGTGAAGAACTCCAGGTTCACCTCTCCCAACGTGCTGCCCATGATCAACTTCATGCAGAGGACCCTGACGGAGATGCTGGCCCTGGACAGCGCCGCGTCCTACCAGCACAGCTTCATCTACATCCGCCAGCTGGCCATCCACCTGCGCAGCGCCATGACCCTCAGGAGGAAGGTGGGCACCCTCCTCATCCTCATCGTCCTCATCCTCCTGGAGCTCCCTGCAGCGGGGCTGGGCACGGTTACAGGTGTAAAGAGGGGATTTATTGCTGGGCACCATCCTCATCCTCATCCTCCTGGGGCTCCCTGCAGCGGGGCTGGGCACGGTTACAGCATAAACAGGGGATTTATTGCATGGCCTTGGCAGGATACACCACGGGCAGGACAGGAGCCTGAGGGAGGCTCTGTTGGTGTGGAGGAAGAAATGGAAAATATTAATCACAATATACCACAATGTACAGCAGCCTCTGGTGTGAAACAAGCAGGTAAAGCACATATGGGTAGGGTTATGGAAACCACAAAGCCCTGAGCTCCAGGCACACTGCAGCTGCCAAAGGCATCCCAAGGGGAACACAAAACTGCCACAACATGGCTGCCTCTGTGGCTTTTTCCTTGGAACTAGCCCTAGGCCGGTTTTACAGCTCTTCCTAGGCCACCCTGGGGTGTTGCAGCTCCCCAGCAAATTCTGGGGCATTTAATGGGCTTAACAAAGCAGCTCAGAGCATTGGGAGCAGCCCTGGTTTCAGGCACCTCCAGTGTGACCTGGGAAATCTGAGTCAGATTGCTGATCCTGGATTTTGTCCTGTTTAGCAAAACAGACCCCACAGATTAATTGCTGAGCTGCCCCCAAACAGGGCAGGGTTGGTGCCCAGCTAAATCTCCTGGCCTGTCAGACATGGGGATAAATAAGCAGAGATAAATGAAGTCTGGGCTGCAGATCCCCTAATTGGATTGCACTGGCTCCTTACACCCTCAGTTGTGGCCCAGACAAGGAGTAAATCCATTTGATTTCACAGCTGGGGGGGCTCGTGGCCCCTCAGATGGGCATGGCACCACCAGAGTGTCCAAATGCAAGCACTAAGCCTGTCTGAATGGGCAGGGATGGTGCTGGAAGGTGATTACAGAGCAGATTGCTCGTCTGCTCTGTGCAGGAGGAGCTGAGAAAATCTTTGTGGTGCATCCCAGAGACCTGGGGAGAGCTGGCACGGCCCTGCCACGTCCAGCTGTGCCTTGGCTCAGGGCCCTGCTGCAGGGCTTGCCCCAGAGGCTGCAGTTAAACATTCCGTGCCTGTCTCAGGACTGTGCATCATCCTGCTGCTCCATGCAGGAGAGATCAGCTGGGCCTTGGAAATCTGGAAAAAAAACACAAATGGGGGCTGAGGCACCTTGTGAGTGCAGTCTGCTGTGGTTTGGGCAATTCCTGCAGAGCGCAGGACTGAGGGAAGGGTTTCCTTCAGGGAATCCTGCTCCAGCTGGGCCTTTATATTTTATTATTATTCAGGATTCTCCAGAAGTTCTGGGCTGATATTTGCTCCAGTGCTCAGCTCAGGATTCCCTGTCCCTGGCCAATCCCAGTCCCTGCTGTGATGTTGGGAACTTTTCCGTCTCAAAGCAGCCCCACTTAGCACAGCAGCCTGGTTTTATTCACTTTATTTCTCCTCCAGGCACTGGTACCAGTGAACTTGCTGCCCTGGGAATGGCAGCTGCAGTGTTGTTATTCCTCCCTGGGCAGGGAGCAGAGTGAGCTCCTATCAAATGCCACATTTTCACATTTCTGCCTTTATGTTTGCCTGCAGGAGAACTTCCAGTCAGTCTACAACTGGCAGTACATCCACTGCCTGTACTTCTGGTGTCGAGTTCTCAGCACCATCCACCCCAGTGAGGTCATGGAGCCCCTCATCTACCCCTTGACACAGGTCATCATTGGCTGCATCAAGTGAGTGGAGCTCCTCATTCTTTTTGCTGTGCTTTGGTGTGTTATTTTACTCTTCTGTGATTTGGATTTAACCATGAATGGTCTTTTAATTGAAATTTTCCAGCCCAAGATGTGTGTGAGCAGCTGTTTAGGGGGTGACAGAGTTGTGGTGTGGGTTATTTTTTTCTCTTTGTATAAGAAAAGTCTCAGCCTGAATAACCTGGGCAGATTATCCTTGTAACTGCAAGGAAAATGATCCAGAAAATCCTCATCTGCAGCTCTGTAAATGCATTTAGAAGCTGCATTTTTGGTGCCTGTTTGTTGGGACTGGAAGAAGTGGGCCACAGTTGTTGTTTTCAGGGTGTCTGCTGAGAATTCCCTCCTCACATCAGCTCACGTGGATGAAATGTTTGTGCTCTGAGGTGCCTGTTAACATTAGCATTGAGGGAATTTGGGGATCTCTGGTGATCTCCCAAATCCTGTTAGCTCTGCTAACCAGATTCTCAGCTCTAAAGCCAGCTCTGGAGGAGCTCCCCACGGTGCTGGAGATAAGCAGATTTAAACGATCTGATAAGAGGATGCAAACATCCCCCTGGCACCCCCTGCTCTGGGATGGATCCAGGCACCTTCCTGCCTGTCCAGCAGATCACCCAGGGGCTGGGAACAGGGATTGGGGTGAGGCCCAGCAGGGTTTGAGCAGCTTGGCATGAGCTGCAAGAGCTGCCTGGTGAGGCTTTGGGGTTTGGGAACCCCCCAGGTGGGTTTGGGGTCACCTCACTGTGCCCTTCCAGGAGCTGAAGGAGCTGCAAGGGAGATGGAGAGAGGATTTCCAAAGGATGGGGGGACAGGACACAGGGACTGGCTCCAAACTGAGACAGGGGCCTTCAGATGAGAGAGCAGGAAAAAATTCCTGCTCCTGAGGGTGGGCAGGCCCTGGAATGGATGTCCCAGAGCAGCTGGGGCTGTCCCACCCCTGGAAGTGTCCAAGGTCAGGCTGGACAGGGCTTGGAGCAGCCTGGGACAGTGCAGGGTGTCCGTGCCATGGTGCTGGGTCAGCTTTAGGTCCCTTCCAACCCAAACCATTCCCTGACTCTGTGATTCCAGCCTTGGGAAAAGAGTCAGATCCCACCTGGATCCCCTCGGAGCCAGGCTGGGCTGTGGACGAGGCAGAGTGGCAGCTCTGGGGGCTGTGGCTCTGTGGGACAGGCACTGTGTTTTTATTTAATAGTTTTATTATTTTTATTTGAATTTATTTTTATTTAATATTTTTATTTTTATTTTTATTTAAAATTTTTATTCTTTTTATTTACTATTTTATTTCTTTTTAGTTAATATTTTAAAATTATTTTATTAAATATTTTATTTAATATTTTATTTTAATCTAATATTGTAATTTAGTTTTATTTAATATTTTTATTTTTATGTATTATTTACTATTTATTCTTTTTATTTATTGTTTTAATATTTTTTTTTTTTATGTAATTTATTTCTTTTTATTTCTTTTCATTTAATATTTTTATTATTTTTATTTTTTAATATATTTATTTTTATTTTATATTTTAAATTTTATTTGTATTTAATATTTTTATTTTTATTTACTATTTTATTTCTTTCTATTTCATGTATTTGTTTTTATTTATTTAATATGTTAAAATTTATTCTTATTTCATATTTTAATTATTTTTAATTTTTATTTAATATTTTTAATTTTTATTTCTTTTTATTTCTCTGTTTTTGCTGCCCAGGCTGGTGCCAACGTCTCGGTTCTACCCCCTGCGCATGCACTGCATCCGTGCCCTCACGCTGCTGTCGCAGAGCACCAGGACCTTCATCCCCGTGCTGCCCTTCATCCTGGAGGTGGGTTGGTGCCTGCCCCACGCCCTCAGCAGCAGCTCTGGGCTCCCACTGTGCTCCCTCCCTCAGAGCCCTGGCAGGCAGCACCACAATTGCTGAGGAAATAGAAAACGGAAACTGGAATTCAGCTTTTGCTGTGTGGGAGCTGTGCCTGGAGCAGCTGGGTGCAGCATGGCCCCCCAGGCACGGGGGGAATTCAGAGCTGCAGGAATTCCCCAGCCCCATCCTGCTGCTGTGCTCATCTCTGGGGAGGGCACAGCGGCTCCTGACTGCAGACAGTGGGAAATGGAAGGAAAAAACACTTCAAGAACGAAAAAAACTTACGCATATCTTCCTGAAGGAGGCCTGGGAGCTGAGAAAATGGAATTGCTGCGTGCCAGCTCCCTGCCCACTCCCCACGTGGCAACTGGGAGTGCCAGAAATCCCTGAATCCCTCTCCTTCCTGCCCTCAGTCTGCCTGTGGTTTCCTGGTGAGGTTCTGTGGCCCCCGGTCCCTCATTATCCCCTCCCAGCCTGCCCCCAGGGTTCCTGGACATCAGTGAGGCCGTGCCCAGCCTGGCTGCAGCCCTCAGCGTGGGAGCCACACTGCCTCCCTGCCCTGAGGCCCTGCCAGCGCCCCTGGCTGCCCTCCCCTGCCTGCTGGAGGGTGCCAGGGAGCCCCAGAGGCTGACCTGGGCGTCAATAGCTGTGTTTGGGCCACAGAAATAACTGTGCATAACGAGGCTTGTGCCATCGATCCCCCAGGCAGGGGCTCTTTGTTTGCACTCCCGTCCCTCCCTCCCAGAGAGCCTGGATTGACAAATAAAACGTCAGGAATCAATAGCAGCCTCCTGCTCCTGTGGCCTGGGGGCACTGCTGTGACCTGAGCAGCCTCTGCCTGCTCTCAGCCTCCCTGTGCTGCATCCCCACCTCGGGGATGGGCTGCTGCTGGATGTGCTGCTGCTGCTCACAGGGAGGGAAATGGTTCCCTGCTCTGGAGGGCAGCCCCGGAGTGTTTGGGCACTGCAGAGAGGAGCTGGGGCTGCTGCAGGGCGTGGGTGAGCAGGAGGGGCTGCTCACCCCTCTCTGGGTGCCAGCAGATGTGCAGATGTCACCAGCTGGTGGCTTTTTTAGTTCAAATGACATTGGAGCCTCCCCTGATGGCCACGTGGCACCTGCCTCAGAGGCAGTGCTTGGAGCAGGTGTCCTGGAACAGTGATTTCAGTGACAATAGTGAATTTGGTGTGAGCATCACTTTGTGTTGCTTTGGAACTCTCCTCACTTCAGGGACAGCTCCAAACCCCACTCCAGCTCTGGGGTGCAGCCTCTCACCGTGACAGAGTGGGGCTGAGGAGCAAACCCCAGCTTCCTGTGCCCTTGCCTGTGCTGGTTTCCTCTTCACACCTTGCACAGCCAGGGCTCCACAGCCTCAGGTGTGGTTGGTTTGCTCCCTGCCTGGGATATTTGGGAAAGCTGTGGGGCAGTGAGCAGGAATTGGGGTTCCTGGGTGGTTTTCTTGGCTCTGCCACCACCTCCCCTTGGCTGTGTTGTGTGCTGGTTGCTTTGTGCTGTGATCACCTTTACACTCTTTTTTTCCCCTCTTTCAGGTTTTCCAGCAAGTGGATTTCAACAAGAAGCCAGGACGGATGAGTTCCAAGCCCATCAACTTTGCTGTGATCCTGAAGCTCTCCAATGCCAACCTGCAGGAAAAGGCCTTCAGGGTGAGTGGGACCTGGGCTCCCTGTCCCCAAGGGAACGTGCCCCGTGTCCCTGTCCCCAAAGGAACGTGCCCCGTGTCCCTGTCCCCAAAGGCTGGACAGCCTTTCCCAGGCTGGGTTTGGGTGCTGTAGGAGTTCTGTGGGGTTCAGGTCGTTCCCAGTCCCGTGATTTGTGTTTCTCCTGCTCAGGATGGGCTCATTGACCAGCTCTATGACCTGCTGCTGGAGTATCTGCATGGCCAAGCCCACAGCATTGGCTTCCCCGAGCTGGTTCTGCCCACTGTCATCCAGGTAAGGGGGCAGGCACTTCTGGGGGTGCCATGGATGTGCACGGGGTGGGATGAAGTGATTTAAACTAACAGTGACCTCAGGATGGCCCTCAGAATGAGGGGAGAGTCACTTACCTCTGCTTAATTTTAATTTTAATTTGTATTTGTGTTTTGGGGAAGAACAGAGGCATCCCATCCAGTTAGGCTGGAGGCAGGGGAAGGTGCTCTGGAGTTTGCCATCTGTTGGGAGCCAGAGGCTGCAGAACTGCTCTGGGATGGGGCTGGGATGGTGAAGTCAGCTGAGTTCTTGGGCATTCAGAGCTGTTGCTGTGGGGTCTGGGAGCAGAACCTGCTCTGAGCCCCGGCTTTTCCTTGTGCTCAGCCTCCCCGAGGTGCTCTCCACAAGATGGCAATCTTCCCTGCCAGTCCGGCATTCCCAGTCTTCCCTTCCCAATCTTTCCTTCCAGTCTTCCCTCCCTTCTCAGGCTCCCTCACGTGGAGCTGCAGACAGCCCAGCTCAGTGTGCCACTGTTGGGATGTGTTCCCTCATTCCCTCTGCTTTTACCTCAGGGCTGGCTGCTGTCACATCCTCTGTGGGGACACGAACCTGTGCTTGTCCTGCTGTGTGCCACCAGTCCCTGCACGCCTTGGGGTGTCCCTGGAGCCCTGGCTGTGCCCCACAGGCTGTTTGGGGTGTCCCTGGTGCTGGGGCTGTGCCCCACAGGCTGTTTGGGGAGCAGAACTCTGTATCCCTGCTGAGGGCTGGCATCTGTCAGGGGCTGGCATGTGCCAGGCTCTTGGCTGTGTGCCCCGGGCTGGCACAGGGCTGCCTTGGCTGCTGGGAGCTGGCAGCCCCTGTGTGAGCAGCCAGAGCAGCTCCTGGGCCTGTGGCTGTGCCCGTCCCCCCTGTTGGCAGCCCTGTGCTGCAGCCAGCAGCTCTGGGAGCTGTGCAGGGCTTTGCTGCATCCCTGCATTGCTGCGTTCCTGCCTGGCTGCTCTGCCCACAGCCCGGGGCGTCTGCCAGGCTGGGGCTGCCCCTGGCTCCCTAAAGCTGCCTGGGGAGAGGATTTTCTGCTGGAGAGCTTCCAGCCCAGCCCTGCTTCCATGCATGTGTGCCCAGCCTGCCTCCCTCCCTGCTGGGCTGCTCCAGCTGGCAGGGGCTGTGTCCCTGCTCCTCCTCCTCCTCCTCCTCCTCCTCCTCCTCCTGCTCTGGGGGAGGCTGGGCTGAGCTTCCCAGGCTGTGCTTCCCAAATTCTCTGCTGCAAGGCAGGAGGCCCTGGCAGATGAAAGGAGAGCCAGCGGGGATGGGAGGCACTTCAAAGCTGCTGCTGCTGCTGCTGGCCCAGGGCTGAGCCGTGGGGGCTCTGCCTGCAGGGGCTGGGGGGAAGAGCCCCTGCCCTGCCCTGCCCTGCCCTGCCCTGCCAGCAGCTCTCCTGTCCCCAGCCCTGTCCTCAGGGCAATGTCCCTGTGCCAGCAGGGAGCTGGGCAGGGTTTGGCTCCCCTGCAGCACTTCCCGTCAGAGCAGCTGGGGTTTTGCTCTGGGGTTTTGCTCTGGGGTTTTGCTCTGTGGGTTTCAGGCTGGCACTGGGACAGAAGCAGCCCCAGCAATGCCAGGGCTGGGCTGGGAAGCCTCAGTGCCATGTCCACAGACACACGTGGGTGTGCTGAGTGCTTCACTCTGCTGAGATCCCCTTGTTCCATTTGGCAGGGCAGGGAAGAGCACACACAGACCCTGCTTTTCCCCTCTCTGTCCTTCATCCTCTTTTACTGCCCTGGTTGTGTCCCTGCCTCTCCAGCCATGGCTGAGATCTCGTTGGGTTCCATTAATTTCTGTGCAGGGGTGGGACTGTGAGGGGAGCAGGGAGGGAGCAGGGGCTGTGCAGGGATGGAGCAGGGGCTGTGCAGGGATGGAGCAGGGGCTGTGCAGGGATGGAGCAGGGGCTGTGCAGGGAGGGAGCAGGGGCTGTGCAGGGATGGAGCAGGGGCTGTGCAGGGATGGAGCAGGGGCTGTGCAGGGAGGGCTGTGCAGGGATGGAGCAGGGGCTGTGCAGGGATGGAGCAGGGGCTGTGCAGGGAGGGAGCAGGGGCAGTGCAGGGAGGGAGCAGGGGCTGTGCAGGGATGGAGCAGGGGCTGGGGCTGTGCAGGGATGGAGCAGGGGCTGTGCAGGGAGGGAGCAGGGGCAGTGCAGGGAGGGAGCAGGGGCTGTGCAGGGATGGAGCAGGGGCTGTGCAGGGATGGAGCAGGGGCTGTGCAGGGAGGGAGCAGGGGCTGTGCAGGGATGGAGCAGGGGCTGTGCAGGGAGGGAGCAGGGGCTGTGCAGGGATGGAGCAGGGGCTGTGCAGGGAGGGAGCAGGGGCAGTGCAGGGAGGGAGCAGGGGCTGTGCAGGGATGGAGCAGGGGCTGTGCAGGGATGGAGCAGGGGCTGTGCAGGGATGGAGCAGGGGCTGTGCAGGGATGGAGCAGGGGCTGTGCAGGGAGGGAGCAGGGGCTGTGCAGGGATGGAGCAGGGGCTGTGCAGGGAGGGAGCAGGGGCAGTGCAGGGAGGGAGCAGGGGCTGTGCAGGGATGGAGCAGGGGCTGGGGCTGTGCAGGGATGGAGCAGGGGCTGTGCAGGGAGGGAGCAGGGGCAGTGCAGGGAGGGAGCAGGGGCTGTGCAGGGATGGAGCAGGGGCTGTGCAGGGATGGAGCAGGGGCTGTGCAGGGAGGGAGCAGGGGCTGTGCAGGGATGGAGCAGGGGCTGTGCAGGGAGGGAGCAGGGGCTGTGCAGGGATGGAGCAGGGGCTGTGCAGGGATGGAGCAGGGGCTGTGCAGGGAGGGAGCAGGGGCTGTGCAGGGAGGGAGCAGGGGCTGTGCAGGGAGGGAGCAGGGGCTGTGCAGGGATGGAGCACGGGCTGTGCAGGGAGCACACAGCTCCAGAGTGCCCTGGCAGAGCCCAGAGTGCTGCAGGATTTCTGGTGACACTTGTGCAAGGGAAGAAAAATGATAATGGATGTGGCAGCGGATGGAATGGATCTGGGGCTGCAGCTGGGGGATCAAGTGAGATAAATCCAGTGACAAATGCATCTCTCAGTGGAGATAAATATGCAGCACCTATAAAAAATAAATATTTTAGGAGGGGAGGGCGAGGGCAGGACAGGCTTCAGCAGCAGAGGGATTGTGCTGATGGTTTCTTTGTGCTTTGGGGAGGCAGGGAAGGTCTGGGTCTGCATTCCCATTTTTCTGGGCTGGTGCTGTGCTGGCAGCTGGGATGTGCTGGAGGGACAGGGACAAGGCTCCCTGCCATGGCTGCAGTTCTTCCTGTCCCTTCCCTCCTGCAGCTGAAATCCTTCCTGAAGGAGTGCAAGGTGGCCAACTACTGCAGGCCCATGAGGCAGCTGCTGGAGAAGCTGCAGGAGAACTCAGCCCACATCTGCAGCAGGAGGCAGAGAGTGACCTTTGGGGTGGCCAGCACCGCTGCTGTGGTGAGCATGGGGACATGGGGACAGCATGGGGACAGCATGGGGATATAGGGACAGCAGGGACATGGGACACAGGGATGACATGGGGACAGCATGGGGACATGGGACAGACACTTTTCCACTTCAGCCTTTGGCTCCCTGTGTGTCCCTGCAGCCCCCAGGCCGGGGGACAGTTCTCAGTGCCACCACTCCTGACCCAGCAGCTGCCTCAGTATCTGAGGCTCAATTCACAAATGCACTGAGTGCTGCTGGCCCCCACATTGCCCAGGAGCTGGGAAATGGGGTTGGGAAAGGGTCCCCACCGTGTGCCCCTGGCTGCCTGTGCTGGCTGGAAGGTGCCTGGAAACCCTTGGAATGTGTGTGTGTGTGTCCTGTGTCCACAGGAGCAGTGGGAGAAGCAGCTGAAGGAGGAGGGCACGCCCCTGAGCAGGTACTACACGCAGTGGAAGAAGCTGAGGGAGAAGGAGATCCAGCTGGAGATCAGTGGCAAGGAAAGGGTGAGCAGCAAACCCTGGGTGTGACCCTGGGTGTGACCCTGGGGACACCAGAGCCACGGCCTGGGGACAGCCAGGGGGTGCTGGGGCTGGGGACAGCAATGGGGACAGGGGGACAGCCCAGAATGGGGCCAAGCTCCTGCCCCAGACTGGCCCTGCTGCTGTGGTTGGACCCTGCCCTGCTGCTGGAGCAGCTCTCTGCAGATTTGGGGTTTTTTTCTGTTCAGAAAGGCAGATTTGGGGGTTTTTTCCTGTTAAGAAAGGCAGATTTAGGGGTTTTTTTCTGTACAGAGAGAGGCAGATTTGGGGTTTGCTGTGTTCAGACAGAGGCAGATTTGGGGTTTGCTCTGTTCAGAGACAGATTTGGGGTTTGCTCTGTTGAGAGAGAAGCAGATTTGGGGTTTGCTGTGTTCAGAGGCAGACAGATTTGGGGTTTGCAATGCAGAGAGGCAGATTTGGGGTTTGCTGTGCTCAAAGAGAAGCAGGTTTGGGGTTTGCCGTGCTGCAGGCTGCCCTGCAGCCCTGCTGGTGAATGGGGCCGTTGTGTGCCTCGGTGGGGACTGGTGCCTTAATGATGCAGCTTTGTGAGCCCCAGCAGGAGAGGGAGCACCATGAGGCCCATTAGGGCTGGGAAAATCCATGTCCCATTAGCAGCCATTGGGGAAGAAAGGCAATAACAGGAGAAAAAGAAAGCCAGCGTGGCTGGGAGCTGCAGCCTGCCTCAGACAGCAGCTCTGACCCTGCCTGCCCATTCCATTTGCTTTTCCCAATGCTTTCAATGGGATGGGGACTAATCAGCTTGGTGAAACCCTGCAGATAGCAGCCCTGAGCTGGGGATTAAAAGGCTGGCCCCCAAATTAGCTAATTAGTGCTTGTGTGTGATGAGCACAGGGCTGTGGGCTGTGCCAGTGCAGGTCTCAGTCCTTTGGGGCACGCTGGGTTTATTTTGTGCCCATCCTGAGGGGTCTCGAGGGGGGAGTGGCACAGCCAGGTCCTGCTTGGTGTGCTCAGGCTGTGCTGATGTCCCCCATGCTGCCTTTGGAAATGGGGATTTTTCCCTGTGGGAATGTGGGACCCCAGCTGGCAAACCCCAGCTGCCAGGACAGGGGCCTGCCTTGTGCCCAGAAATGGGGGAATGATGGAAATTATGGGAATTGTGGAAAATGCCTTCACCCCTCGGTGGGGCTGCAGCACAACCAGCCTGGGGCTGCCCCATCCCTGCACGTCCAGGCCAGGCTGGAGGAGGCTCTGGGCAGCGCAAGGGGGCCCTGCCATGGAGCTGGGGCAGATTGGGGGTCCTTTCCTGCCCACACCAGCCTGGGCTGGGTGCCAGCCGTGGGGGCAGCAGCCTGGCAGTGCCCCTGTCCATTTTGCTCCCCAAATCTTCCCTGGCACCTCTGGGCTGTTTTTAAGGCCAGCCCAGAGCTGCTCCCAGCACACACAGGGAGGAGCAGAGGCCTCTCCCCTGTGGCAGCAAGAGCAGTGGCAGGAGGATGATGATGGTGATGATGATGATGATGATGATGATGATGATTTAAAATGAGGCCCCCGCAGTGGTGGAGGGTGATTTGTTCCCTTCCCTGCCATCCCTGCTGGGCAGTGCTCAGCCCCAGGATCAGTGTGGCCCAGCTGGGGACCATAACCCTGAGCAGGCTGGGGGAAATGGCTGGAACTGGCTGCAGGAGCAAAGCCACAGCTCCACCTCGTGCCCGTGTGTCTGTGCCCTCCCACTTGGGCTGCTCTGGCTGCTGGGGGTGCCTGTGCTCAGCCTGGGGAGGCTTTGGGGTGCTCTGAACACTGGGCTGTTCCTGGCTGCTGGGAGCATGGCTGTGCTCAGCCTGGGGAGGCTTTGGGGTGGGCTGGGGGTGCCAGGGGCAGCAGGTGAGTGCTGGGGGTGCCAGAGGGTGCCAGGGGCAGCAGGTGAGTGCTGAGTGTGCCCAGGCCAGCCCTGGTGAGCGTTTCCAAGCCAGCTGAGCGTTTCCAGGCCAGCCCTGGTGTGGGCTGATGCCCCAGTGGCCCCCAGGAGGGGTGAGCAGCCGGGCAGGCTGAGCTCCCAGAGCACTTGGGGTTTCATTTGCATTCCGATTGTCTCTGCCCTGCCGGCCTGAGCCCTTGCAGGTAAATCCCCCCCTAATCCCCCTCCGGAGAGGTGTGAAGAGCACCGAGGTGGTGTCAATGGAGGGCAGTTAATGGCATCGATATTGGCTGCCTGCTCCAGGGGCCCCATCGATCTCCTGCAGGGCATGGATGCAGCCCTTGAGCATCCCCAGCACCTGGAACGCTGGAATCTGCACCCAAACCCAGGGGGTGGCTCAGGGTCTGCTGCTGCTGAGGTGCCCCATGGATGGATATCCCCATCCCCACCCTCATCCCTGCTGGGCTGCCAGCCCTGCGTGTTCCATGAGCTCAGGCAGTTTGTGAGGGCAGGATCAGAGCAGAGCAGGGTCTGGGAGCCGCCCTCAGCCCTGGGACCCTCACAGGTCTGTGGCTGGCAGCTCACAGCCCCAGCTGCTGTGGGCAGAGCCCAGTGCTGCCTCCAAACACAGCCTTTGGCACCCAACAGCACAAGGGAGGGCTGCTCCTACGCTGGGCTTTGTTTGCTTTCCAGCTCGAAGACTTGAACTTCCCAGAAATCAAACGCAGGAGGCCGGATGAGAGGAAGGAGGAGGATAAGAAGGAATTCAAGGATCTCTTTGAGCTGGACAGTGACTCTGAGGAGGAGAATGGTGGATTCTCTGTGAAAGGTACAGGGCTGGGGCTGGGCTTGCCTTCTCCTTGTCCACAATTCCAATTTCCCTGTCCACAGTCCCCTTTTCCCTGTCTACAGCTCCTTTTTCCTTGTCCACAGTCCCATTTTCCCTTTCCACAATCCCTGAGCAGGTTCTGTGCATGGCAGGGGCTCCCACCAGCACGGGGACCTTTGCTCCTGTCCCTGCTGCACTTCTGATTTATTATTTTATTTTATTATTCATGTTATCCTGCCTGGTGCTCCCAAGGAGCCCAGGAATCCCGGAGAGCAGGGGCTGGTGTCACCTGGCTGTGACCACGAGAGGGCCACAGGAAATTGTGCAGAGTTTGGGATGAACCCGGGAGTTCCTCTGGGGTTTGGGATGTTTGGGATGTCCTGGGTGTGTGAGAAGGGCAGGAAGGGAGGGAGGGAGGGGAATCTGCAGCCCCTCCTTGGTGCTGTGGATCCAGGGGAGGCTCCTGCTCTCCCGTTTCCAGCAGGATTTCTGGCAGAAAGGGAAAGCTGGGAATTGGGAATGGCTCAGGAGGAGGTGCTGGCCCCTGCAGCACAGGGAAGTGCCTTTGGGGGGATATCAGTGAGAAATGAGAAATCTGCCCCGGGTGAGTCTGGCCCTCCTGAGCTCCCTCCCTCCCCTGTGCTGCTGCTCTGCTCCCTCACACCCTGAACCCTGCAGGGAAGGGCACGGCCTCGGATGACAGCTCGGAAGCCAGCAGCAAGGAGTTTGGGGAGGAGGATGATGATGAAGAAGGAAATTACGAGGTGGAGGAGGACGAGGAGGAAGAGCTGGAAGAGGACAGCGAGGCAGAGGGTGAGTGGGGATTCCTGACGGCACCAGGGCTTTCTGTCCTGCCAGGGTGCCAGGAGGGGCTGCACAGACCCCGAGGGCAGAGCTGGCAGCCCTGAGCTGCAGGGAGCAAAGGGTTAAAGTGCCCCCAGCCCCTCTCATGTCTCCTCAGGGCCCTCCTGCAGGAGGCTCAGCCCGGCCTGGGGCACACAGACCCTGCAGGTGCCACCCCAGGGTGCCCTCACCCTTCACCTGGGGCACAGGGGCACGGGGTGACCCTTTCCTTGCTGGAGAGCTCCCAAATTTCCCTTGGTGTTCCTGCCCCAGTGGGGCCCTTTGGCCTCCTGTTCCTGCCCCAGTGGGGCCCTTTGGCCTCCTGTTCCTGGGGAACTCTGGGCTCCTGTATCTGCCCCAGGGGGGGCACTTTGGGCTCCTGTTCCTGCCCCTGTGGGGAACTCTGGGCTCCTGTTCCTGGGGAACTCTGGGCTCCTCTATCTGCCCCAGGGGGGGCACTTAGGGCTCCTGTATCTGCCCCAGGGGTCACTTTGGGCTCCTGTTCCTGGGGCACTTAGGGCTCCTCTATCTGCCCCAGGGGGGGCACTTTGGGCTCCTGTATCTGCCCCAGGGGGGGCACTTTGGGCTCCTGTTCCTGCCCCTGTGGGGCACATTGGGCTCCTGTGTCCCCCCAGGCACTGCTGCTGTGCCCAGCCCTGCAGGGCCCTCCAGGACGAGTTAATGAGTGCCTGGCACTAATCAGTGACCCCCTGGCAGGCAGGCAGGATCCCTGACCCTGTGTCTCTCCCCAGCAGAGGAAGGCAGGGCAGGAGCCCAGCGTGCCCAGGGTGCCCAGGATGCCCAGCGTGCCCAGCAGAGGCAGAGCTGCCCCCGGGGCCTGTCCCGCTCGGACCTGCAGCAGCTGGCACAGGGAGGGGAGGACCTGGTGCAGGACCTGGAGTTTTCTGACGAGGACTGAGCAGCCCAGCCTGGACTTTGCAGCTCAACGTGGACTTCTCCAGCTTTTTCTACCGGTTCTGCTTTTGGTACCAATAAAGCCGAGGCCGAGTCAAGGCCAGTACAAACTGCTCAGCAGAGGGAATAAAACCCCATTGAAATCTGCTTTCAATAGCACAGGGTTCACTTGCAGCTCCTGCTGAGTGGGCTGAGCAAGGGCAGGGCCAGGGTTTGTCCGAGGTTCCCCCTCTCTGCCCCAGCAGCCACCCCAGATTCAGCTCTGGGGCCGCCCCCAAACCCTCCTGGTGCCCAGAGTGCCCGAAGGACTGCAGAGACTCTGCCAGAGCTTTGCAGCTTCCCTGGAAGCCTCGATCAGTTCAAGCTGCCCCAAGTGAGCTGCAGAAGGAAACTTTCAATTAAAGTTTCTTGGGTTAGGGACGTGCAGGCATGAAGGAATAAAGAAAGGCAAAATTGATAATGTAGGAAACACTGCCCAGGTGAGAACTGCACCACTTTAACTGTAAAAAAAAAAAAATCACTTTGTAGAAGATTTTAACTGACCTGTCCTTCCCAAAGAGAAAGGAATTCCCTTTCTCTCCTGGCTCTAACTTGGCTGCCTTGTGCCAGCTGGGAGCCAAGCCTGGATGGGATTCCAGGCAGGAATGTGGAAAGGAAGGACAGAGACTGCTTGGGTAAAGCCAGGTACCATCTGTAAATTAAGTGGTTTTTTTATTTAAATTGATTGCTGGAAAGCATTTTTATCGTGATGTGATGGATAATGAATTTTTTTTTCCTTTTTTTACAATATAAAGAAGCTAAAGTACCACCAAAGCTACTCTGTAAGAAAAACGGCAGCACGTGCAACGTTTAAACAAAAAACAAACCCAAAAATAAAAAGGGGATGGGGGGAGGAGAGGGAGAGAGAGAGAAAAGTACCACATGTGATTGTTGCTCACAACTGTACAAGTCACAGGAGGTCACCCCAGCAGTTCCCAGCTCATTCACAGTAGTAAAAACTCTGCCCATTGCTCCAGCCTGGCCCCCTCCCTGCAGCCAGGGCTGGGGGGGCAGGGGTCTGTCTGGTGGGCCCCAGCAGCCAGATGTGCACTGATCCACCTCTGGAACAAGCGGCCAGATGTGCACTGATCCACCTCTGGAACCAGCAGCCAGATGTGCACTGATCCACCTCTGGAGCAAGCGGCCAGATGTGCACTGATCCACCTCTGGAACAAGCGGCCAGATGTGCACTGATCCACCTCTGGAACCAGCGGCCAGATGTGCACTGATCCACCTCTGGAGCAAGCGGCCAGATGTGCAGTGCTCCCCCTCTGGAGCAAGCGGCCAGATGTGCAGTGCTCCCCCTCTGGAGCAAGCAGCCAGATGTGCACTGCTCCACCTCTGGAGCAAGCGGCCAGATGTGCACTGCTCCACCTCTGGAGCAAGCGGCCAGATGTGCAGTGCTCCCCCTCTGGAGCAGCCAGGTGTGCACTGATCCACCTCTGGAGCAAGCGGCCAGATGTGCACTGCTCCACCTCTGGAGCCAGGCTGCACACGCAGGAGCCTCCTCCCCCAGAGCAGCTGCTGCTCCCGGGCCCGACCATGCCAGGGGAATCCATCCACCCCTGCGGGGCTGGGGCACGGGCACCGTCCCCCCTCTCTGGGCACTGCCAGGCCCCTGTGCCAGGGCAGGGTGGCTCTGTACCATCCGCACGAAGTAAACATGGACGGGAACTTGCCTTTTGTCCTTTTGTTTTTTGTGTCTCTTTTTTTTTGTCTTTTTATCCTTTTTGTCTGTCTTTGGTATTGTTTTCAAAGTTGCTAGAGATGCATAGAACACCTGAATGAGGACGTGAGCCCGGTTGCAGGGAGGAGGAGAGCTTGGCTGGGGTGCCTGTGGATGGGATTGTTCGCTCGAGGTACCGGGGCAGCAGCGGAGCCCCTTCCCCTCCCCGTGGAGGCACAGCCCGAGTTCCTGCAGGCAGAGAGCAGCCCGTCCGTGCCTCCCCTGCAGGGCTCTGCAGCTCCACCGAGCAGCGTGGAAGGGACAGCAACGCCGCCTCCATCCTCCAGCATCCTTCTCTTCACTTGGCGTCGTCCCACGACAACATCTTTGGATCATTTTCCTTCCTTCCCTTTCAATGTTTTTTTTTTGACAGTTCGGAAATCTCCGTGGTTCTTCTTTTATTTTCCCCAAACAAATAAAAAAAAAGCAAACGCATCCAAAATAAAAAACCACCCAGAAGAGACCGTTCCTGCGGTGGGCCCCGTTAGGAGGGGGGCTTGGCGGTGTCGCCGAGCAGGGCGGCGCTGCCGTTCTCCTGCTTCGGGGAGCCCCGGCCGGGCGCGGCGCCGAAGGGCGAGGCCACGCTGCCGGTGGAGGCCGGGCGGAGCTCGCCCGGGGCCGCCTCCCGCTCCGGGGGCCGCAGCCCCGGCGGCTGCAGCGGCAGCGCCAGCGGGAACCCGGCCATGCACAGCACCCGGCCCAGGCGCTTGGCCACCTGCGGGACACGGGAAACACAGAGGTGAGGGTGGGAGAGGGCAGTGGGGGGAGTGGGAGAGAGGGGGAGCACCCAGGGGCGTGCAGGACGCCAGGGCCGGGCTCAGTCCCGAGGGCTGCTGGCAGAAGAGTTCAAACAGCCCTGGGTGTGTCCAAAGGCAGCCCGGACACGGCTTGGGGCGCCCTGGGACAGTGCAAAGTGTCCCCCCATGGCAGGGCTGGCGTGGATGGGATCGATGTTCTATGGAGCAATCCCATCCCAGTGCCCCTGAAAACCAGAGCGGGGACGGTTCCCTCCTCTCCTTTCCTCAAGGATTCTGTCCTGCAGCCCTGCTCCTGTTCCCGGGCACTGCTGGAGCCCCAGGGCTGCCCTGGGTGTGCTGGGACAGCCCAGCTGAGGGGCCCGGGCTCAGCCCTGCCCTCTTACCCACGGACACTTCACAGGGCCCTGCTCTCTGCCCAGGGCACAGCACTGCAGGAATTGCTCTTCAAAGGGCCAAGGCAGGGAGGGAAAACAAAACTGCTGAGCCTCTCCCTGCTGCAGCAGCTCCTGCCTCCCTCCCAGCACCTCCACAGCTGCTTCCCATTTGAGCTTAACCAAAACCAGGGGCTGCTGCTGGACCCAGACAAGTGGGACATTATTCAGGGAGCAGCATCGGGGCTCTGCTCCCCCCGTCCAACCGCCAGCCCTGCCTGGTTATACAACTTTAAACACTATTGATGGAATTGAAGGCATTTTTCAAGCTCGTATCTCACATTCCCCCCGCCCCAAGCCCCATCTCCGAGCTGTTCAGGGCTCTCTTGTTTTTTAAGGAACATAAGAGTTTTATTTCCTCCTGAATTGACCCACGGGGAACAATTGCCCACAGACCCTTTTTACGAGCCCCTCATAAACAGGGAGGGCTGCAGGGAAAGCACTAAAGTCTCTCATTGTTTGTTCCGAGGCAGCACGAGCAGCGTGGGCTGGGGCGCCGTGCCAGGCTGGCACTGCCACGGCCCTGCAGGACAATGCCAGGGACACGGCACAGCACGGGCAGCAGGGAATGCCCAGCACTCAGGGAAAGGATCCAGCAGGGATGCTCTGGGTTTGAGTCCCCCTGAAGGGAGGGGGAATGGAACTGCTGTGGCTGGAACCAGCCCGTTTAGAGCCTCCCTGTTATTCCCTCGCTGCACCCCTGTTACTCCCTGCCACCACTCATCCTGGACTATCTATTTCTGCCCCTGGGCAGGGAATTCTGTCAGTGGTTTCTCCCTCAAACAGCTGTGACAGCTTTCAGGTGAGGCTATGGAACATTTTCAAGGACAAATAAAGCGTTCTTGAAACAGAATTGCAACTGAATTATTGCTTAATAAATTATACTCCATAAACCACGTTTCTGGACACCCCAGGGACAGCTTCACCTGTTCTGGGAGAGGAGATTTTCCTACCTGTGACCTGATCTTCAGGGCAGGTCCCAGCTTGAGCCCCATGTTGTTCAGTAAGTGCTCTTCTGTCAGGAGGGGCAGGGTCTCCCCATCGATGGCCTGCTCTCGGAATACCTGAGGGGACACACAGGGACACACCTGAGGCACCCTGGAAAAGGTGAACTCAAACCCCTCAGAGCCTGGATTTATCCCCCAGGGGTGTTTGCAGCCTTGTACCCATCCCTCTGGAGCCAAGGGGATTTTCTGCTCTCGGACCCAGCACAACTCTCTGCACCCGTTCCCTTCCCCTGCTCTGCAGGAGCCAAAACTTCCCTAAAAGACTCCACAAAAAGCCTGGACTTGGGGAAAGCATCCCCTGGGGGCAGAGACAAAGCTGAATCCCAGCCAGGCCGGGGCAACTCTGAGTTGTGCTGGAGTTCCCTGAGATGTGGTTCTGCAATCACAGCATTCCAGGGAATCCTGCAGGGCTCTCCTGGTTCTGCAATCACAGCATTCCAGGGAATCCTGCAGGGCTCTCCTGGCTCTATATGATGAATATTCCAGGGAATCCTGCAGGGCTCTCCTGGTTCTGGAACCACAGCATTCCAGGGAATTTTCCAGCATTCTCCTGGCTCTGGAACCACAGCATTCCAGGGAATTTTCCAGCATTCTCCTGGCTCTGGAATCACAGCATTCCAGGGAAGCCCCCAGGCCCCATCCCACAGCCTGGCTGGCAGCGGGCTCAGCAATCCATGAGGATAAAACCCAGGAAGGCCCTCAGGGCTCTGAGATGGAGCTCCCAGCTGGGAGGCACCAGACCCCCAGGGAAGGAGGAGGAGGATGCTCCCTTTGGGTGTACCTGAGTGTACTCGGTGCAGCCAGACAGGTTGGACACGAAGCTGCACACGTCCTCCACCGTCCATTTGCTGATGTCCTCCAGCGCTGGGCTCTCCTCCCCATCCAGAAACAGACCTCCCATGGTGCCTGGGGTGTGGGAAGGACGGGAGGAGAAAGGAACATAAATCATTAAAATCCCACACGGACAACGAGCAGCCTGCAATCTGAATATCTGTCTCCAGCCACACATTCATCTTTAATGACCTGTCAATTAAAGCTCTGGGCAGGGTCAATTCATGGGCCTCTTCCTCCTGGAGGTCCCTGGCTGGGGGAGGGAAGGAAAAATCCCAGCTAATGCATTTCATGTGTGCAACGCTGCTCAGCTGCGGGGGAAGCGGGGAGGGCAGGGCAGCACGGAGCCTGCAGGAGTTTGTGCTCCCAGAGCACAGAGCTCGGCCTGCCCGGGGGCTCCTGGAACAGCCCTGCTCCTGGAACGTGCCAGGAATGACAACGGGATCGCTGGGGAGCTCCTGCTCATTCCCATTCCCATTCCCAGGGCTGGAATGACAACAGGATCGCTGGGGAGCTCCTGCTCCTTTGGAATGGCACCAGGGATCACTGGGCAGCTCCTGCTCCTCCCCAGGGCTCCAGTCCCACCGTGCCCAGCCGGAGCTGCGCTGTCCCTGCCAGCCCTGTCACTGTCACACAGAGGGTGTCACCCAGAGGGTGTGACAGTGGCTCCCAGGGGCTGGGGCAGCCCCCCGGCCCTGCAGCCTGACAGAACACCCAGAAAAACCCCAAAGGGAGCCAGGGACAGGCACAGGGGGGTGGAAATGGGAACAGGAACACTCGGGGACTCAGAGCTGCTGCGGGGGAAAGGCGAGGACACAGAACAAAGCAAATCCCACAAACCAAACCAAATCCCACAAACCAAACCAAATCCCACAAAACGCCTCTTTAGGGTGGGGAAAGCCAACAGCAGCCCCTGGGACTGGCTGCTGTTTGGAGCAGCAGAGCACAAGGACGTTTACAGGGATGAGAACATCCAGGATTCTCAGGCAGGGAAAGAGTTTATGAGGGGTGTGAGCTGCTCTGCTCAGCGCATGGAGAATGCAATTGCCAGGAGAAAAATATTTCTCCCAGGAGCCTGTCATGACAGAATGATCTGTCCTGTGGGCTTGGGGCTTCTCCCTGGTGGATCAGATGGATGCAACCCCTGCTCCTGCCCACAGCCGTGGGACAGCACAAGGGAAAAGCAGATAAAGCAAAGCCACGGAGGGGAGCACAGGCCAGGGAGCAGCCAATTCCCTGGGGAATAGCCCAGGGAACAGGCAGGGAAAGCAGCAGAGCCACACACAGGGCCCCACACAGAGCCTCCAGCACAGCCAGGGAGGCAGGGAAAGCTCGGAGTCTGCAGGGTTAGTTATGGTGCCAGGGAGATGGTTTAGGGCAGCAGGGCCTGCCCAGGGAGCAGGCACAGCCTCTGCAATCGTCCCCACACGTTTCCTTCCCATTTCCTGCTCCCTGGGCTGTCCCTGGGCAGGGGACAGCTGGGGCTGCTCACCCAGAGCCACAGCTCCCTGGGATCCTGTGATCCCTATCCCAGCCACAGCACCCTGTGATCCCTGTGATCCCTATCCCAGCCACAGCACCCTGGGATCCTGGGATCCCTATCCCAGCCACAGCACCCTGTGATCCTGTGATCCCTATCAGAGCCACAGCACCCTGTGATCCTGTGATCCCTATCCCAGCCACAGCACCCTGGGATCCTGGGATCCCTATCAGAGCCACAGCACCCTGGGATCCTGGGATCCCTATCAGAGCCACAGCACCCTGTGATCCTGGGATCCCTATCAGAGCCACAGCACCCTGGGATCCTGGGATCCCTATCCCAGCCACAGCACCCTGGGATCCTGTGATCCCTATCAGAGCCACAGCACCCTGGGATCCTGGGATCCCTATCCCAGCCACAGCACCCTGTGATCCCTGGGATCCCTATCAGAGCCACAGCACCCTGGGATCCCTGTGATCCCTATCAGAGCCACAGCACCCTGGGATCCTGTGATCCCTATCAGAGCCACAGCACCCTGGGATCCCCATCAGCCACAGCACCCTGGGATCCTGTGATCCCTATCCCAGCCACAGCACCCTGAGATCCCTCTGATCCCCATCCCTGTGTCCCCTCCCTGCTCTGGCAGCCCAGACAATGAGAACAAATGGGTGCCAGGGGCTGCAGGGCCGCAGCTCCCGTCGCAGTAATGACCTGTCAGCTCACAGCAGCCACCAAGGGCAGCGCCAGAGCCGGGCCTGCTCTGCCTGGCTGCCTGATAAATGACGCTCGGGGGCTGCAATGGGCTGGGGAGCGCTGCAGCAGCTGGGGCCTGGCCTGTGGGGCTGGGAGGAACCCATGGTGCCAGGACAGGGATCCCCAGCCCAGCCTGGGCACACGGGGCCACCCTGGCACCAGCCCACCTCTGGGCTCCATCAGCTCTGCCCCTTCCCCATCCCCATCCCCGAGCACCCCCTGTGCCCCCCAGTGAGGGCTGGGGTCAGGAGCAGCACAAGGCTGCGCTAATTGCTCTCCAGACTGCAATCAATAGAAGGATTTTAGCCTCCTGCACACTCCATCCTTCACCTCTTCCAGAGGACGAGGCTGCACAGGGCCCTGGGAGGAGGAGGAGGAGGAGGAGGAGGAGGCTGAAACCTTGAGGAGATGAGGTCATCGAGCCACAGCCCCAGAAAGCAGCTCTGGGAATGGAGCTGGACCAGCAGGGACAGAGCAGGGACAGAGCAGCTCCTCCTCCTCCTCATCCTCCTCAGCTGGGTGCACAAAGGGGCTCAGGAATTGTGTGGCACAGGGGTTCAGGTGGCTGCAGCCCTGCCTGCCTGCCTGCCCTGGGTGCTGTGTGCTCCCCCAGAGCCACAGAACACATTTGTCACCCGCCCCAGGACGGCTGGATCAATACAACCCTCAATATTTCAGCTGCTGAGCTCCCACCTCAAGCCCTGGCACTGCATCCTCCACACCCCCTGTCCTCCCGAGGCTTTGCAGGTGGGAGGATCCGCTCTGGAGCAGCACAAACCCTCAGGGAGAGCCAGAAGCCAAAGAGCCCTCAGGAACAGACCCCCAGCCCTGGCTCAGGCTGCACAAGGCAGGGGAGGAGGGCAGGGAAGCCCAGCCCGGAGCTGTGCTGGTGATATAAATCCAAAGTGATAATAATAAATGGGCTATTACAGCGTCTCACACACGGCTGGGGGAGGCAGGGAGGGCAGCCAGCCCCAGCCCAGCTCCCCACAGGGCCAGCAGCACCGTGAGCTGAGCCCAGCCCTCTCTGATGGCCGGGAGGAAAGGCTCCTGCAGCAAGGCTGGGCAGCCCGAGGCAGCAGGAATATTCATCATCCTGGCCACCTGCCTGCCGCTGAAACATCGCTGAAAAATCGCTGAAAAATCGCTTCCTCCTTGCTGCCTGGGAGGCAGCTCTAATGAGGGATGGGCAGGCAGCTCCTGGCGTGGGGAACAGCACGGCACAGGACAGGACAGCTCAGCTCAGCACAGCACAACAAGGCACAATATACACAGCACAGCCCCCCTCTCCCTCCCCGTGTGCCCTGCCTCCTGCTAATTGCTCGGCCAGGTAATTAGCTGGGGCAGGTTTGGGTTCCGGGCTGGGCTGGCGGGGCTCCCGGGCTGTGAGACCCCATTTGTGCCGCCCCCAGCCTCTCTCAGGGCTGGCAGTGACCTCCCTGTCTGTCTGTCTGTCTGTCTGTCCCATCCAGCGCAGCTCCCTCAGGGCCTGTGACACAGAGAGGCACCACAAAGAGCCCCTGCCCTGGAACAGGGCACCTGGGAACCAGGCTGGAGAACCCTCCAAGGCCATCAAATCCAACCTTTGCCCAACGCCCACCTCGTCCCCAGCTCAAAGCACCACGTCCATCCGTCCTTGGCCACCTCCAGCGATGGTGACACCACCACCACTACCCTGGGCAGCCCGTCCAACACTTGACCACCCTTTCCATGCACAAACTCTTCCTTTAGAGACAAGAGAACCTCGCAAAGCAACCACAACCATGAGCAGGAAGCATTCCAGCCCTGCCAAACCCACCCCTGCCCCACCATCACCTCCCCAGCCTCACCTGCATGGAAGTAGGGGCTCATGGTGTAGGGGAAGCCGAAGGGCAGCGGCTGCGGGGCGGGCAGCGAGGTTGGAGGCAGGTATTTCACCTCGGCCTTGCCCACGGCGGGCCCCAGCAGGTGGCTGGGGGACTCGGCGCTGGAGGAGCCGCAGGGCGCCGCACCGGGCGCCGCGCCCGCCTCGCCCGCCTCCTTGGCGCCCTCGCAGGCCTTGCCCGCGCCGCCGTCCTTGCCCTCCTTGGGCTCCGCGGCCGCGCCGCCCTCGCCCTTGAGCGCCTCGGCCTTGTCGTCGCCGTCGCTCTCCGAGTCCTTCATCTCGTCGTCGTTACAGTCCTGGGCGCCCGCGCGCGGCTCCCGCGGCTCGCCGGGGCCCTGCGGCTCGGCCCGCGCCTGCGAGGGGCCCTTGCGGCCCGCGCGCCGCGGCTGCTCCTTGGGCGGGGTGGCGGCGCCCGGCGCCAGGGACAGCAGCGGCGCGTTGTTGTGGCGCAGCACCAGCATGGCGTTGCGGCGGGACAGCTCGTCCCGCAGCGCCTGGCCCTCGGGCACGTCGTGCACGCTGCGCAGCGCCGGGTGGTCGGGGGGCAGCCCCGGGTGCAGGCTCAGCGGGTCGGCGGCCAGCAGCCTCTGCCGGTGCAGGTTCTCCAGCTCCTTCTGGCGGATCAGCTCGGCCGACATCTCCAGCCTGTGTGTGGGGAGAGGGGATTGTGGCGAGGGGTTGGAAGAACGTGGTCCCACCCAGCCCTGCAGGAGGGAGGTGTGACCCCCACACCTGGCCAACATCTCCAGCCTGCGTGGGGAGAGCAGATTTTGGTGGGGGTGTGGGGAACGTGGTCCCACCCAGCCTTGCAGGAGCCAGGTGGCACCTCCACACATGCACAGGCCTCGCTGGGACCCTGCTGTGCCATCCCCACCCAGCCCACCCCACAGCAGGACAAACCCAGCCCTTCCCACTCCTACCTGGCCAGGTTTTGCTTCCGGAGCATCTCCTGCTGCCGTGCAAACATCTCTGCCTGTGCCGGCTGCAGGAACCCGTAACCTGGGCAGGGAGAACACTGCGGGTTATTGCTGTCAGCACTGACCCCTGGCTGCCCCAGGGCCAGCTCCCCAGGGGGCGAAAGGACACCTGAGTGTCCCACCTGAGTGGTGCTTTTTGTTCCAGAGCCCAGCCATCCCCCCTCACTGCCATGGCAGGAACACAGGGCCAGGAAGAGCAGCCAAGGAATCTGCTCCTCTGGCTGCAGAACCAGGGGCAAGTTGGCACAGCAGCCATGGGGAGACACAGAAATCCTGTGTGGCTGCAGGACAGACTGTCCCAGGCTGCCCCTCTGCCCTGCCCTAGCATCACCTGGGCACTCACCTGGTGTCTGGCACAGTGCTGAAGGCACCCCGAGGAAGGGAGGTCTCAAGTGGGGCCCCAGGGCGATGTGGGGAGCGTTCTGGGGCGACAGCAGAGGCGGAGGGTGGGAGATCTCCCTGCAGGAATCACAAAATAAAGCCCTGTTGGAAACCTGGAGGCTCCCAAGGGCTCAGGAAGAACATCCTGGCTCCAGATGAGCTGCATCCTGCCCCAGAGGCTCTCTCTGCCTCCTTACCCTCATGCAGAGCTTCTAAAGTGGAGAGAAAAAAGCAAAAAGAGCAGAACCAAAAGGGGAACAAAGCAGCCAGGACTCCACAGGTCCCACACACTTCCCACCTTTGCTCCTGTGGCTTTTCAGCCGGGCTGTCCAAAGGATTTGCCCTGGCAGCTTAAAAGGGAGGGCTGAGGATGCTCCATGCGCCCCTCCCTCATCACATTTGGGTTTCTGCCTCCACTACCTCACACCTGAGAAGGAATTCTGTGCTTGGGGAGTGGGTTTGGGAAGATCTGAAAGCATCACGGGCTTGCAAAAACACCTTTCCTAGCCGGGCTAAGGGATGACCTTTAATTGTGGAGAGGAAAGCTGAAGTGAGGCAGAGGGAAATACAGACAGGAGAGGGATGTGAGCAGGAAGGGCAGTGAGGTCAGGGGGAAGGAATCCTGCTGGAGAAGGGTGGGTGAAGCCAGGCAGAATGGGCAGAGCAGACGCCAGGGGCTGGGGAGACTCAGAGAGGCAGCACTGGGTGGTGGGAAGGGGACAATCCTGGAGAGAGGCAGGGAGCACTTGCAGCAGCAGGAGAGAAGGCAGGGAAATAAAAGGCAGGAAGGGAACAAGAGCCAAGGTCTCTTCCATTAGTCAAATCTGCCCTGGGAGCCTGCAAGCAAATCTGCTTTCCGGCTGCACGTCTCTTAATTCCTTTTGATGGCCACTTACAACATTATTACCTTCAGCAGGGCATCCAGAGGCACAGCCAAGTGCCGGGCCATTTATTTTCATTCTACAGTATCTCCCTGCAAAAATCTGCTCTGGGAGAGGCTGGAGGCCAAGGCACAGGGAGGCAGAGGGTGCCTGTGACTTTGCCACAAACACAGCACGTGCAGAGGCGCTGCTGCGGGGGGATAACAACGGGAGCATCCTGGCCATCCATGGATCATTGTGGGCATGGATAGCTCATGGGAATGGATCAGATTGTGGGCATGGATCAGAGTGTGGGCATGGACAGTTCATGGGAATGGATCAGGTCATGGCCATGGATCAGGTCATGGCCATGGATCAGCTCATGGCCACGGATCAGATCACAGGCATGGACCAGGTCATGGAAATGGATCAGCTTCTGGGAATGGATCAGCTCATGGCCATGGATCAGACTATGAGCATGGATAGCTCACAGGAATGGATCAGCTCATGGCCATGGACAGTTCATGGGCATAGACAGCTCATGGACAGCCAGACAAGGATTCCTGAGCACGAAGTGGGCGAGGAGAGCCCTTCCCAGCTCCGCTTTACCCCACTCTGTGCATGCACTGCACCACACCGACCCGGCTGCGCTCCCCCTCCCCAGTCCCTCTATTCCCGGTGCCCCCTCCCCTCCTGCCGTCCCCGTGGCCTCTCCGGCTCCGTGCCCCCCTCCCCGGCTCTGCCCTAACCTAATTGAGCCCCGGCGGTGTCTGGAGGCGCGGCGCGGATCGATCGCGCTGCCGCAATGGTAATGCCGCCCGCGCGCCGCTGGCAGCTCCAATTAATCTCAGGTAACGCCGCGCTCGACCTTCGCCTCCGAGCCGGGGCAGCAGCCAAGCGATGCTTATGTAATTACACCGTGAAGTGTGTAATCACCTGCCCTAATCCCCGAGGCCTCGCAATTAGCCGGGGCCGCGGTCGCGGGGCTGCCAAGTGCTGCTGCCACCCGGCCGGCCCGACGATGAATGAGGGACAATTAAAGCGGCGTGACGGGGGCTCCGAGGTGTCCGCTCGATCGTAATTAGCTGTAATCACGGCCAGACGAGCCTGGCAGACGTGCTGGTCGTTTTATAAGAAGCAATTTAGGAAATCAAGCCGCTGTTAACCATCGCGTGGCCGTGCTCTCCTTCCCCCGCCTGCCTTGGGGATGTGCGCGGTGCTGCGGGACATCCAGGCTGCCCATGGAGAGCCCAAAAACAAAGGAGCTCCTTGGCTGGTGCCAGTCTGTGCCCAGGGAGCAGAGGGTGGGATGGGATCAGGGCTGGGAGCTGGGAAAGGAGAGGTTCTCCATGGTGGCAGCCCAGCGCTCACCCCAGGTTGTTTTGATGCTTTCATGTTGTGCTACGGGCACGACTTTGATCCCTGAGGAATCCACATCTGCTCCAGACTCTGCAGTTCATTCCCTCAGAGCTTCCCTGCCTTCCTGGGCCGGGCAGAGCCCTGGGGAGCCCCTCAGCTGTGTGACACGAGGGACAGACCCTCTGTGCCAGCCACAGAGCCACCCACGGGCAGAGAACCTGTTGGAGCCGGCCCTGCTCCCTGCCAGCCCCTCTGCCCCATCCCTGGCACAGGAGGGAGGCAGCAGCACCAGGCTGTGCCCTGGCACAGGGCTGGGCACCCTCCCAGCCTTGCCAGCCAGCTGGGAAAAGAACTGGCAAGGGCAGAGCACAAAGCCCCCGAGACCTCAACAAAGGCTGCTGTGCCTTCAGCCAGGTGTGCAGCCAACACTGACCCTGCATCCCCTGCCAGCTACCTGCCAGCCTCGGATCCCCCATCAAATTCCCAAATTCCTTCCTACTCGGCTCAGAGTCAGAACTGCAGCGCCCTGCTCTGAGGAGGTGAATTTAGCCCCTGGCAATTACATCTGAGAAGCCTTGTCCTTCCCTGGAAGAGAGCAATTCTGTGCTGCTCACATTCCTCCCCTGCCCCCTTTTCCTTTCCCCCCCCTGAAATGCCAGCTGGAGGCTTGTGAGCTGGGTATTAGGGGATTTGCACTGCACGCTGCTAAATTTGATATGTCCTTTAACAGGAGACAAATGGTTCAGGAGGCTTAAAAAGTATCGACTTTTCTTTAACAATAAGCACTAATGGCCTTCAAATAATCAATATTTAAAGTCATTACAGGGTTACACATTATACTGTTAAAACCAAGCCTTTCACTTTAACCCCATGATATCCTCCCCAGGCTGGAGCTGAGTTCCCCCCCGGCTCGAGCCAGGCTCTGGGGGCAGGCTGGGAGCACAGGCTGTGACTGGAGATGTGAGAGGGTCAGGAAATGCAGATTGAAACCGGCAAGGCATGGAAATAAATTTAGAACGGATGGAAGAAGAGGGGAAGGGAGGGGGGGAAAGAATGCATGAAAGCTCTGCTTTCTTCTGCTTTGCATTTGATAGGAAGAGACACTTTAAACCCGAGGTAACAGGCAGGAGGCACAGAGCTCCTGGCTGCTCTGCCATCCCCAGACACTGCCAGCAAGGGAGAATAAATAAAATCAAAGGCCTTGCTAGAAACGCTGTTTGGGATTTCCAGGCAGGAAAAGAACATGTGCTGGCACTGGAGAGGGGCTGCTTTGTGCTGGCCCCTCAAAACGCAGACTGCTGAAACCAAACTGCTTAAAGCAGGGCAGCATCTTTGGCCTTTGCTCTGCAGCACCTTCAGCCAGGTGGGAACCAGGGAGGAGGGATCCTGGCGGGGCAGAAATCAGAACAACAGAGCCTGCAGAGAGGAGAGGGGACACAGGGCTGGGGTGGGTGAGAGCAGGACAGAGATGGTGCCCAGAGAGGGCAGGAGATGAGGGCAGGAGATAGTGCCCACAGAGAGCAGGAAATGTGCCCACAGAAGGCAGGAGCTGAGCCCAAGGAGGCAGCAGGAAAAGGAAAACCTCCCCAGAGCAGGGAGGAGGAATGAGGCGGTGGAGAACAAACCGTAGCAACAGCAGATGGGAGGAAGGGAATCCAAAAAGCCAGGCTGGGTATTTTGGGCACATCTCTGCTGAGAGGAAGCCTCTGGCTGGTGCAGGGTGTCTGTCAGCCCTGCAGGGAGGCAGGGGGTGTTTTAGGGGGTGCCTCTCTCAGGCTCAGTCCTGCCAAGGGGCTGGGCTTCCCAGGACCCTGTGGTGGGGGGGCTGCTGGCACCTCAGCCTGGCACATTCCGTGCTCCTGGCACTCCTGCTGCCTCCCCCGGCTCCTGGGGGACGAGCTGTGCTCCCCCTGCCTGCTCAGAGCCACGCTGCCTGTGCCAACACCTGCCTGGCTCTGTCCTCCTCTGCCCTGAGAGGGGCGGGACCCCCAGAGCCCACAGCTCACCGTGCAGGCACAAAAACCAGCTCCCAACAGCTGCCAGCACAGAAAAACGCACCCAACACAGCCAAGGAGCTTCACATCAGTGAGCAGAGAGGGCAGCACAAAAACCCAGCCCTGCCCCAGCTCCTCTCCAACCATACTGACCACACAGAGTCCAACACCTCACCCAGCCCTGCCCCAGCTCCTCTCCAACCATACTGACCACACAGAGTCCAACACCTCACCCAGCCCTGCCCCAGCTCCTCTCCAACCCCACTGACCACACAGAGTCCAACACCTCACCCAGCCCTGCCCCAGCTCCTCTCCAAGCCCAGTGAGCAGAGAATCCAACACCTCACCCAGCCCTGCCCCAGCTCCTCTCCAACCATACTGACCACAGAGTCCAACACCTCACCCAGCCCTGCCCCAGCTCCTCTCCAAGCCCTTCTCCGTGCAGGCCATGAGAGATTTCCCCTGCAGAGGAATTTTTCGCCGCGCAGAGAGAAGCGGGGATGAGCACCTCGGGGAGGAAACGCCAGGCTGAAGGAGCCCAGCAGAACTCTGCCAGCAGAGCCTGGAGGCACAGCCAAGGAGCAGCGTCCCAGCAGCTCTGCAGGGCGCAGCCACCTGCCGGCCCTGCAGGAGAGGCAGCAGCGTGCAGATGGAGGAGCTCCAGGCTGGAGTGCTTACGGCGGCACCTCTCAGTTGTACCCTCTCCTCTTCCAAGTCTTTTTATAACACTGAACTCGAGCATCTTCCCAAGCAGACCGCCAGGCCCTGGCATCCCAGCTGAATCCCTCTCCAAAGGATCCAGGAAACCAAAACCACGAAGCCAAATGAATTCTCCAGCAGACTGTGCCTTGGGTCTGCTTTTGGCAGCATGTCTCAGTTCCACTGACTCCAGGGAGCACAGAGATGAAGGCACCAACCACTCTGCCCCAACCACGACCCTGGCCCAAGAAAATCCATATCCGTGTGCTTGTGTGCCTCATCCCCACAGAGCCAACCTCCCAGCCCCTTTCTGACCAGCAAAGATGCGATAATTAATTAATTAATTAATGGCACCCCTGGACCTCCCCAAGCTCAGTTCACCCCTCCTGCCAGCAGCACCTTCCTGTGAGCAGCCTCCAATTAATTAATAATTAATTAATTAATGGCATCCCTGGGTTCATCTGGACCTCCCCACAAGCAGCCCCTCCCCTGAGCAGCCTCCAATTAATAATTAATTAATTAATGGCACCCCTGGGTTTATCTGGACATCCCCACGAGCAGCCCCCAATTAATTAATAATTAATTAATTAATGGCACCCCTGGGTTCATCTGGACCTCCCCACGAGCACCCCTCCCCTGAGCAGCCTCCAATTAATTAATAATTAATTTATTGCTGGCACCCCCGGGTTCCTCTGGGCCTCCGCACGAGCAGCCCCTCCCCTGAGCAGCCCCCAATTAATTAATAATTAATTGCTGGCACCCCTGGGTTCCTCCCCACGAGCCCCCCTCCTGCCTGGACGCTTTCTCGGGCAGCCCCGGGGCCGGGCTGGCTCCTCTCCAGCCCACACAGCGCCGGGGAAAGCGGCTGCAGAGGCTCCCCCGAGCCTGCGTTCCTCCCAGGCCTGCTCAGGAGCTGGGATTTACGGCCTGGGTTAGCCACAGCACACGCTGTGGGACAGACAGAGCCTTCCAGGGCTGCCCGGCCCCTCCACAGCGCAGAGGTGTTGCTGGGAGAGCAGGAAATCCAGGCAGGATCTCCAGGGATCCAGGAATGGGGGAATTCTGGGCTCAGCACAACCGTGCACTGATGGAGCAGCCTGCTCTGCACCCAGCCCGGCACAAAAGCCAAGAGAAGTGGAAATGCCAGAGCCCTTCCCTGCTCATCCCATGACATGCACAGCCCGTGCATCCCCACAGCCCCCTCCTGCCCCTCCATCGCTGTCAGGAACGCACACAGCTTTAATTTAATTTCCCTCTGAAGTTCTTGATTGCAGAGGGAATGGCTCGTGGCACAGAGCAAGATAAATGAGCTAGAATTTCCTGGGGGTGGGGGATATCAGCTTTCCAGCACTCCCGGCAGTGGGAGAGGCAAGCTGAGGCTCTTTTCCCTAACAAAGAAAACTTCTTCTCTCTCTGTTCCACCTCAGAGCGTTTCTCCTCTCTCATTATCTGGGGATGCTACGAAATGCAAACTTCAACACCTCAACTTGCTCTGTGCCCACAGACAGGTGAGAGTGGCACCTCCAGCACGGGTTTGGGATCATCCCAGCCTGGCACTCGCTCCCCTGGATGTGGACGGGCACAGGCAGAGACTCCCCCCTTTCCATAGAGACACCCCAGAGCGGGGCAGGAGCATCCCCACCCAGCACCTGCACAACCCCCAGGGGAGACGGTCACACCTTGCCAGGGGAATCAGCTCTGCCCAGCTCAGAATGACACAACCCCAAAAGCTGGAAAAACCCTCTAAAACCACAGAGTCCAGCCACCATGGACACCACCATGGTCACAACCAAACAACGTCCCCAGCGCCACATCCACACGCTTTTTGAACACTTCCAGGGACGGTGACTCCCAAACTGCCCATCCCATCCCATCGATCCCATCCCATCCCATCCCACCCCATCCCATCCCATCCCATCGATCCCATCCCATCCCATCCCGGCAGACCCCGCCCCGGGGCCGTGCCCGGTACCTGTCGGGGAAGTGGCTGTCGCGGTGCTGGGGCAGGCCCTGCTTCCTGCGCTGGCTGGACGAGTTGCTGCCCGAGGGGATGTGCGCTTCCATCGCGCCCGGGGTCCGCGCCGCCGCCGCCGCCACCTCCTGCCGCGCCCGGAGCAGATCTGGGGACACGGGGGAGCGAACGGTCAGGAGATGCTGGGGGAGCGGCTGGAGCTGCTGCTGGCCGGCCCCGAGCCCCGCTCGGACACACGGACAGACACGCGGACCCGCTGTGCCCCAAGCCCGCTGGACACACGGACAGACACACGGACCCGCTGTGCCCCAAGCCCGCTGGACACACGGACAGACACACGGACCCGCTGTGCCCCGGGGCCGCTCCCGGCCGCGCCCGCAGCCCCCAGCGGCTCCGCTGTCCCTCCTTCCCGGTCTGTCCCCCCTTCCCGGTCTGTTCCCCCTTGCCCGGGGCCAGCCCGCGGCTCGGCGGGGAGCGGCGGCCCCGGCTCCCACCGGCTCTCACCCCGCGGGGAGCGGCGGCCCCGGCTCCCGCCCGGCGGCCCCGGCTCCCGCCCGGCGGCCCCGGCTCCGAGCGGCTCCGGGCGCGATCCGCCCCCGCCGCCCTGGGAGCTGGGCGGCGGAGGAAATTGTGCAACTACGGCAGGGGGGTGGATTTGCGGCTTAATTGCCTTCCTGCCGGAGGGAGGGAGGGAGGGAGGGAAGGATGGAAGGAGGGATGGATGGAAGCGAGGGGAGCGGGAGCAGAGCGAGGCATTCATGGCCCGCGCTCCCTCTCCCGGCCGGTCCCGAGCCGAGCCGCGCTGGCACCTGCCCCGCTCCTAGCGTGTCTGTCGGGGCTCTCTGTGCCCCGTGGGGCTCCGCAGCGCTGAACCCGCCCAGAACAGGGAAGGGCTGGGCCCCGAGCAGCTGAGGATGGGGCACAGAAGGGGACCCCCCTCCCAGCCCGAGCAGTGCCCGGAGACAGCTGCAGGTGAGGGGGAAACGCTGCCCTCGTTCAGCCTGCACTGCCCTGGGACCATGGCAGGACTGTCACATGTGTCACCCTGCCTGTAATACCTGTGGCACCCTGCCTGTGACGCCCTGCCTGTGACAGCCAGGTCACCCCACCTGTGACAGCCAGGTCACCCTGCCTGTGACACCCTGCCTGTGATAACTGTGTCACCCTGCCTGTGACACCCGTGCAGTGACACCTGCACAGCCCCTTGAGGGGTCAGTGCAGCCCGCACGGTGCCCTGGGATGGACAGAGCGGGCAAGGCCAGAATCACACATGCACACGGCCAAGGGGCCCCAGGGAGGGGCAGGTGATGCAGGTACAGCCCAGGTGCCCTGCCCTGGCCCCAGGGAACAACGAGTGACATGGACACACCTGTGCCAGGAGCCCCTCAGTGCCGGTGTCAGTGTGAAATCCCCCTGCACACAGCTCACACCCCAGCCAGAGCCTCTGCTGCCCTTCACGTGGTGCACAGGAAACCTCCCTGACACCATCAGCTGCCACAGGAAACCACAGCACAGCTGGGGAGAGCAGCAGCACGGGCAGATTTACCTCCCCGAGCACAGCCTAGGCAGGATCAGCTCCAGCACCGACCCTCAGAGCCCTCACACCCAGCAGCACACCCACCTCATGCACCTCTTCCCACTGTAAAGCTGTAGGAGCACTGCAAACCCTGGAATGCCACGCTTCCCATCTCTGTGCCTCCCTTTTCCCCACCAGGCTCTTTCTGCAAATCCCAGCCAGCTCTCCTGGCACCACGATGTGCCCAGCCCAGCCTGAGCTCCATCAATCACAGCATCCAACACCGTGGTGATGCTCAGGGCTGGAGCCCCGTGCTGGGCTCAGAACGTTCCCACAGCTGCTGCTTGTGCTGGCAGCAAGGGGGACAGGGGGGCAGCAGTGCCCAATTCCTGCCCTGGACAGGGGGACAGCCGTGCCCAATTCCTGCCCTGGACAGGGGGACAGCAGTGCCCAATTCCTGCCCACATTCGTGCCCCAGCCGAGGGGACAAACACTGAAACCATTCTGAACTGCACGAGCACGCAAGGAACAGCCAAACACCATCAGATCACAGGAAAAAAAAACCCGGAGAATTCGCCGAGGCAGGCAGAGCGTGCAACCTTGCAATGTTTATAAATTAATTATCTGAAAAGCCCAGGTCAGCGCTGATTGCCACGGCGGCTGTAATTTAGAGGGCTGGCGTGCAGCCAGCTGCAGGAGCCGCATTGATCCTGAGTGACCGCAACAACCCCCGCTCACACCCCCTCCTCTCCCCTGCCTCCCGTCCCTGCCTGCTGCCCGCCCCCCCCCGAGGATCTGTTATTTACAATCCCACCCTGACAGTTGGGAAATCAGATTGATTGACAGAGGGACGCTGGCGGATGGAGGTTCCAGGCACGGAGACAGACTGAATTCAGAATGTGGGATGAATGCCACTGGGAGAACGGGGGAGGAGGAGGGAGGGGGGGGGGGAATGGAAAGCAATTAAAAAAAAAAAAGATTTCTAAATTATTAACATTTTTTAAATTATTAATGTTATTGGTGCCTCCGTGTGAGCCCGCAGATAAACTGCGCTTTGTACTGGCACTAATAATTTATAGCCCAACCAGAGCCCTGTGGTGTGGAGACAATCCAAAAATACACCAAGTTTTGTCTTGTCAGAGCTCCCCCAGCCAGTGTGCCCGTGCAGGCTCCTTCTCCCCCCAAACCCCAGCGCGGCCCCCCCACAAATGCTGATGAGGGAATTTAATCATCACCACAAAAACACGCCGGGCTCTCAAGGTAATGAGCTCCTCTCGTTATCCTGGGGGCAGCGGTGACCCAGCTGTCCCCCAGCACACTCCGGAGGGATGGAGGTGTCCCTGTGGCCAGCAGCCACCCAGGGCCAGTGTCTGTGCCAGCCCTGGTGCCACCCCACGCTCTGTGCCGTGCCCAAGCCCTGCCAGGCTCCAGTCTGAACATTCAGTGCCACCCTTTTGTCACCCTCTGTGCATCCCATGTGCCATCCCGGCCCTGTGGCACACAGCTCTGCCCCTCAGCCACCAGAGCCGGGTTTGCAGGAACTCTGCAGTGCCTGGCACAGCCCAGCCCCAGCCCCAGCCGCTGCCACCTCCCCACGGGGCCGGGGCAGGTTTGTGTTTGTGCCTGTGCTGATAAGCAAATCCTTCCTCCACAGCAATCCCTGCTGCCCCCAGAGAAGCCAATCAAATCAAACAGAGTGGAAAGAAGACAGCCTCTTCATTAACCTAACAAGGAGCCCTGGGGATTCACACTGGGAGCAGAGATCCTCCTGCAGCTCCAGCGATGCTCTGCTGGGGCTGCCGCTGCTCCCGAGGCAGGCAGGACGTGCCAGCCCTGCTCTCTACCTGTAAAGGGATGCTGTACCTGGGCAGGGATGCTGTACCTGTACAGGGATGCTATACCTGTGCAGGGATGCTGTACCTGTGCAGGGATGCTGTACCTGTGCGGGGATGCTCTGTACCTGTGCAGGGATGCTGTACCTGTACAGGGATGCTGTACCTGGGCAGGGATGCTCTCTACCTGTGCAGGGATGCTCTGTACCTGTGCAGGGATGCTGTACCTGGGCAGGGATGCTCTACCTGTGCAGGGATGCTCTACCTGTGCAGGGATGCTCTGTACCTGTGCAGGGATGCTGTACCTGTGCAGGGATGCTGTACCTGTGCAGGGATGCTCTGTACCTGTGCAGGGATGCTGTACCTGTGCAGGGATGCTATACCTGTGCAGGGATGCTGTACCTGTGCGGGGATGCTCTGTACCTGTACAGGGATGCTCTGTACCTGTGCGGGGATGCTCTACCTGTGCAGGGATGCTCTCTACCTGTGCAGGGATGCTGTACCTGTGCAGGGATGCTATACCTGTGCAGGGATGCTGTACCTGTGCGGGGATGCTCTGTACCTGTGCGGGGATGCTCTGTACCTGTGCAGGGATGCTGTACCTGTACAGGGATGCTCTGTACCTGTGCGGGGATGCTCTCTACCTGTGCAGGGATGCTCATGATCCTGCAACCTCCTGGTGCCCCCTTTAGGCACAGCCCAGGACGTGCTGGATGCAGCCAGCTCCCTCCAAAGCATCTCCCATATCCATCCCAAGTGAGTCCAGGGCTCAGGAACAGCTCCCAGACCCATCCCATACAACCCCAGGGCTCAGGAACAGCTCCCAGACCCATCCCATACAACCCCAGGGCTCAGGAACAGCTCCCATCTCCATCCCAAACAGCTCCAGGGATCAGGAACATCTCACAAATCCATCCCAAACACCCCCAGGGCTCAGGGACATCTCCCAGACCCACCCCAAGCACCCCCAGGGCTCGGGGCCGCCCCCATCCCACTCCCCCCGTGCCAGCAGCCCCCGTGCCCGTGCCGGCCGTGCCTACCCCCGTGGCTGGGCACTGCCATGCTGTTGGCCAGCTGGAAGAGGCGCTGCTGCTGCTGCTGCTCCTCGAAGGAGCCGTGCTCGTTGAGGGCAGACATCATGCGCCTGTAGTGCTCCTCGGGGGTCATCTGCGCCACCTCCTCCAGCGCCGGCGTCTGCGACGTCTCTGGGGACAGACGGACACACGGACACGCTCAGCCCCGGGGAATGGGGCAGCTGGGACACGGGGTGTCCCGCAGGACAGCTGGGGGTCCGCCCACATTTGGTATTTATGGGGAGTGTCAGAGGGGATGTGCTGGGCTGCGCCGAGGGGAATTCAGGCTGCAGGTTGGGAAGAAGGTTTTTACAGAAAGGTGATAACGTTCTGGAATGAGACCAGGACTCAGGAACATCTTCCAGACGCATCCTAAATGAGTCCAGAGCTCAGGAACATCTCCCAAACCCATCCCAAGTGAGTCCAGGACTCAGGAACATCTCCCAAACCCATCCCAAGTGAGTCCAGGACTCAGGAACATCTCCCAAACAAGTCCAGGGCTTGGGGCATCTCCCAAACCCATCCCAAACAACTCCAGAGCTCAGGAACATCTCCCAGACCCATCCCAAGTGAGTCCAGGGTGCCAAGGTTTAGTTGAGGTGCTGGGGCTGAGCTGGACTCAGTGGTCTTGAAGGTCCCTCCCAACCTGAGGATTCTGAGAATTTGGGGGAATTCTGTGAACTGGGGGAATTCTTTCCTTGTAAGAACTGAGAAGCCTGTTGGTAATTCAGAACTCAGCAGAGCAAGGCCTGACAGTGCTGCCACCCACCGCAGGGTCAGTGCTGCCATCCACCAAAGGGACAGTGTTGCCATCCACCAAAGGGACAGTGCTGTCACACTCCCAAGGGACAGTGCCACCCACCGCAGGGTCAGTGCTGCCATCCACCAAAGGGACAGTGCTGCCATACACCCAAGGGACAGTGCTGCCATCCACCAAAGGGACAGTGCTGCCATACACCCAAGGGACAGTGCTGCCATATACCCAAGGGACACTGCTGCCATCCACCAAAGGGACAGTGCTGTCACACTCCCAAGGGACAGTGCCACCCACCGCAGGGTCAGTGCTGCCATCCACCAAAGGGACAGTGTTGCCATACACCCAAGGGACACTGCTGCCATCCACCAAAGGGACAGTGTTGCCATATACCCAAGGGACAGTGCCACCCACCCGGCCAGCCCCCAGCAGGACCCTCAGAGCTGGCCGTTTCCCCTCTGGCCCCTGCCCCAGCCCCCTGGGGGCTCCCGAAGCCCCTCCCTGCCCATGCAGTGCCCGAGGGATGCCAGGCTGGCAGGAAAACCGCAGGGGTTTGTGTTTACTGTAAGCACCGCTCTCAGTAATTACTGCTCTCCGCCCTGGCTGCTCCAGCGCTGCTTTATCTCGCATCTCTCCCACAGGCAAAGCCTTTTCATTACCCACAGAGGAACTCCCGGGCACAGGGGAGGGGGTGGCAGGGCTGGCACTGGCAGGGCCACCCTCCCGTGTGCCCAGTTCCTGTGCAGGGCTCACGGGGGTGGCGCCTGCCACAGCACGGCACTGGTAATGCTGCTGGGGGCTGAGAGAGGGGCTCCCATCGGGAAAGGGGCGTGGGGGCAGCAGGAGCAGCCCAGCACACACAGGGGCTGAGAAATGGGGCAGCCCAGGGGCTGGGGCTGCCTTGGTCTGACACCCAACCCACAGGGCTCAGCCTTTGGGGGTGAAACTTTCCATGGGTTGTAATGAAACCACCACCCCCTCCCGAAAATACAGGGGGGAAGCATCATCATCACCATCATCATCATCATCATATCATCATTATCATCATATCATCATCATCATCATGATAGCATCATCATCATGATATCATCATCATCATTATCATCATATCATCAACATCATTATCATCATCATATCACCATCATCTCATCATCATCCCAATAATGAATTATAACAATAATAAAATAGAAAAGTAAATAAAATAAATAACAATGAATAATGAGTAACTATAACAACAATGATTGTAATTATAGTGATTGAAATAATAATAATAATAATAATAATAATAATAATAATAATAATAATATCATCTGAGCTGCACACCATTTCCGCACGGCAGGGCTGCATCCCCGGCTGCCAAGAGCAGCAGGGAAATGCCTCCAGCTCAGCCCAGCCCGGCAGCAGGGCCAGGGCTCTGCTCACACAGCACTCTGGCTGCCCTGCAGCCCCAGCCCGTGCCCCAGTGACCCACATCTGCACGCTGCTGCCTCCCTGGGCTGCTCCCGGCCCTGCTGCATCAGGAGCTGGGCTCCCTCCCTGCCATGGGTCCCCCAGCCCCACTCCCAGACCCCAAGGGCAGGGCAGGGGCTGCTCTGGGACAGCCCTGCTCCCCCAGCCCCATCCCAAACCTGCAGGACAGCCCTGGCAGCAGCAGGGGAGGGAGGAGAGGGCAGAATTCCCTTCCAGGTCTCTTCCCAGCAGAGAGGATTCCCTCCTCCTCCTCCTCCTCCCCCAGGGATGCAGGAGCTCACTGCCTCAGCTCCCTCCTGATGCTCTTACCCAAAGGTCTCAGGAGCAAAGCCACAGACCTGATTTAGAAAAACACTGATTTATTTTTTTTTTCTTCTCCCCCCACAGCTGTGTCATTAGAGCAAAGAAAAGGGAGGGGGGAGGGGATTTAATAATGCTTAATTACCATAAACTCCACGGGATCAGCCGCAGAGCAGATTTCAGGTGCAGGGAGGGGAGGGACAACGGGGGTGGCTGCGAGGGGAGGCTGAGAGGAAGGAGGAATCCAGGGAAAGGCTGGATTTCCACGCTTAAAACTTGGGAGATTTCACATGACTCAGCCAGCAGTAATTCCAGCTTTGCCGGAGCTTTGCTGTCTGCTTTTGTCATTACCAGGGGTAATGCTGGAGACTGATCTGCCAAAGCTCCCGCGGCCGCCAGGTGTGAAATGGACTCTGGGCAGCCCCGGGCAGGCTGTGAGAGCCAGGCCAGGCATCTGCCGGGCCCTGCGCAGCCCCAGGACAGCCCCTGAGCAGCCCAGCCCATCTCCCACCTCCCAGCACAGCCAGGGCAGCCCCTGGGCACTGAGCTCCTGCACAGCCAAGGGCATTTCCCTGCTGCGCCAGGGCATCTCCCCAGGCTCATCCTGCCCAGGCCATGCAGACAAGGCAGGAGCACCCAGCCTGTCCATCAACACACCCCAGACAGGCCAAGGTTCCCTTTATTGAACCCCAAGGACCTGCGGCAAACCCAGCTGAGCCCAGGGCTGCCTCAGCAGCCTCAGGGGTTTTCCTGCCTGTGCCCACTCCTGGCACGCTCAGCAGCCTGGCTTAGGGGCACTGATGCTGTGAACAGGGCCAAAACCTCATTTCTTCCCCTGGCCTAACTGGGGAATCAGCTGCCAAAGCCACCAGCACGTGGGTGTCCCCCCAAGGAGAGGGACAGACGGACAGAGCTGGGTCTGAACCGCTCAGCTGCAGTCCAGCTCCGGTTCTGGGCTCCTCTGTTAAGCAGAGATCTCGTTTTGTTCAACTGGTCCCCAGCAGCACAGAGAGGAGGATGGCGGCGGCAGCAGCAGCAGCAGCAGCCTGTGAGCTCAGCCCCATGCAGGGTGAGAGCCCCAGAGCGTTCCTAGGTGTGTTTCCCAGCCCTCCATCCAGCCTGCTCTCCTACCTCTCCATCCATCCAGCCTGCTCCTGCTCTCCCAGCCCTCCCTCCATCCAGCTCTCCCACCAGAGGGATTTTCCAGCTGCTCCAGCAGGAACTGAACGCTCTTCCCAATTTTCCCTTTCCCATCCTCCAGCTCCAGCCTCGAGGCGCTGGGGAACCGTGTCCCCCTGCCCTGGCAGCCCAGGCCTGGCTCCAGAACGCTCTGCTCCGTTTGGCAGGGCCGCGTTTCCCCAGCCAGGGCTCCCCTTTGATCTCTGGAGCGGGCTCTGGGGAGGGAGCAGGGCAGGCACGGGGGCTGTGTCCCCCTGCGAGGGTTTCCAGCCCCACAGGTGTTTTTGCACTCAGCCAGGGAGCAGCAGGGATTGCCTTGGCTGCCTCTGCTCCCCTCGGCACGCCAGGAGCGGCCGCGGCAGCGCCAGCGCCAGCGGGGCCACGGGCTCTGTGCTCCTCCTCCAGAGCTCCTCTTCCAGAGCCTTCCCTTCCAAAGGCTCCTCTTCCAAAGGCTCCCCTTCCAGAGCCTTCCCTTCAAAAGGCTCTCTTTCCAGAGCCTCCCCTTCCAAAGGCTCCTCTTCCAAAGACTCCTCTTCCAGAGCCTCCCCTTCCAAAGGCTCCTCTTCCAAAGACTCCCCTTCCAAGGCCTCCCCTTCCAAAGGCTCCTCTTCCAAAGCCTTCCCTTCCAAAGGTTCCTCTTCCAAAGGCTCCTTTTCCAAAGGCTCCCCTTCCAAAGGCTCTTCCAGACCTTCCTCTTCCAGAGCTTCCCCTTCCAAAGGCTCTTTCAGATCCAGCCCAGCTGTGCCTGAGCCAGAGCTGCTCCCAGGGCCAGTGTGGGATGGAGAGGGGCAGGTCCTGCTGGGATGGAGAGGGCAGGTCCTGCTGGGATGGAGAGGGCAGGTCCTGCTGGGATCACTGGGATGGAGAGGGCAGGTCCTGCTGGGATCACTGGGATGGAGAGGGCAGGTCCTGCTGGGATGGAGAGGGTAGGTCCTGCTGGGATGGAGAGGGCAGGTCCTGCTGGGATGGAGAGGGCAGGTCCTGCTGGGATCACTGGGATGGAGAGGGCAGGTCCTGCTGGGATGGAGAGGGTAGGTCCTGCTGGGATGGAGAGGGTAGGTCCTGCTGGGATGGAGAGGGCAGGTCCTGCCCTGGATCTCTGGCACGGAGAGGGCAGGTCCTGCCTGGAGCCCATCCCCACCGCAGGGATGCAGGACATGCAGCAGCAGCAGCAGCAGCACCTCCAGGAGGCCCAGGACCCCCGGGCTGCAGGAAAAGGGGTGCCAGGAGATGCTGCAGGCCTGGCTCCCCCAGCAGGACACTGGGACTGGTGGGACCCTGAACTCCAGGCAGCCCTGGCCCCCCTTCCCACTCCCAAATCCCCCCGGTGCCCAGCAGCACCCACAGCAGCAGCTCCCAGAGCCCAGGGCAGCACCCATGAGGGCCCATCCCGTCTGGGAATGGTTCCCCACACGAGCTGCAGCCTCCTGCTCCCTGCGACACAGGGATCCTGTTTTCCCCATGGCATCCATGGCACACTCATTTACTCATTCAGGATGGGAGCTGCCGCCGCTGGGGCTGGGACACAAACCCCGGGGGCAGCCCCTCCTGTCACCCCCTCCTCACAGCACAGAAACCTCAGCCCCTCACCATTCCAATGAGCTCCAGCATCAGCACAGCCCGGGGGGCTCCCCAAGGATTTCATAAAAACCAGTGGGAGATCAGCAAAAGCCCCCGTTCCCAATGTCCATTCTGCCTCACCTCAAAGTGGGAGCAGAAAACAAAACTTTGCTTTATTCAGGGCTCCCTGGGAACCCCTCTGTTCAAAAAGCTGGGGAATCCCTGGAGCTCTGGGAGCCAAGGGCAGGATTCAATCCTGAGTGCTTCCTGCAAAGCCAGGGCTCCTCAGCCCACAAAATAAAGGTGGGGAGGCCAAAGGAAAGGAACAGAATGAGATCCTGTGCCAAAAACATCCACCTGTGCCAGCTCGGGCACTTCTTCAGCATGAATCCAAAGCAATCCCTCGGACTGGGTGAAGTTCAGCCCATTCCCAGCCAGGCCCCACAGGTTCTGTTCCCTGCACTCAGCTCTCAACCACAAACTTGGGATTACCAGGGGCACAACCTCAGCTAAAAATATAAATATAAATATAAATATAAATATAAATATAAATATAAATATAAATATAAAGTATAAATATAAATATAAGTATAAGTATAAATATAAATATAAATATAAATATAAATATAAATATAAATATAAATAGTGTGTCCCAGGGGCCTTGTGCCTGATGGAACAAATGTGTTCATGAACCTGTGGAAGCATCACCTGGAACTCACCTGCACAGCCACCAGAAATATTTCAGAGATAACAGGAATAGAGCAAATGGGAAAAAAAATCAAGGAAAACATGAGGAGGAGCAGTTTAAAGGGTTCCCAGCAAGATCTGAGGCGTTTCTGCTGCCATGAAAGAGTTAATGGGCAGGAGAGGGTTACATCAGAGAGAGGATTTGGTATTTTCCATAGAACTCTCAGAGAATTCTGCCCCCAGAGCATCCTGTGGGCACAAGGAGGGCAGAGCCAGGGACGCTCTGTGCCACCAGGATGCAGGACGGGTCCCACAGCGGATCCCACAAAGCAGAATGTGCGGTGTGAGGCTGAAGGAGGCTCCAGGACACGGTGCTGCCCTTGGAGATGCCCTGGATGGGTCCCTGGGATGCAGCTGGGCTGGTCCATGGGGCAGGACCAGCCCCAGAGCTGCTCTGGGTGCCCAGGGAGAGCAGCTCTGGGCACAGGCACGGAGCTGGGTATTACTGACACCTCATTAGCCCGATACTAACAACAAAGCCTTTCAGTAAACGGCCTGCAAAACCTCATTTACCCAACCTGGAGACAAACTCATTAACTGCAGGCTCCATTAGCCAGCCCACTCTGCCACTCGTAAAGAAAGTTTAAAAATCCTGTTTATAGGAAAGAACTGGAAGGCAAATCAAGAGATAAAAAAAATATAAATAAATAAAAAGACAACAAACCAAACCCTAAATAGAGAAACCTTCTGCAGATTCCATCTCTATAGGAACGGTGCCATAAATGCACAAGAGAAAAACTCAGCAGCCCCATTCTCCCTGGCAGGCTCCCTTTCTCCCTTTAAAGGAGCAGATGCCAGCACGATAAGCCCGTGTGTACCTTTCACACGGAGCATGTCACCGAGACATTTCTGCCTGAAGAAAGCAGGAACACCCCTGAGATCCACCTGGAGGGCTGCAGCCTGCTTTGGCTTTTCTTGTTTTTTTGATCATGAAGCAATTACAGCAATTAAGAGGCGATCCCTGCGTGCCCTGCCAGCAGATAAAGGGAGGCAGAGCCTCCCCCTGCAGCCCCGGTGCCAGACACAGCTCCCACCCCACAGCCCTCCCTCCATCTCCATTGAGTTCCAGGGGGGAAAGCAGAAGGCAGGGGAAGGGGACGGGGAGCAGAGCAGCACTTACCCTTTGGGGACACACTCCGGGCCTTCTTGCTCTCCAGAGGACACTCACTGCTGCTGTTGGGGGAACATACTCTCCTCTTGCCTAGAATCTCATCTGCAGGGAGAGCAGAGAGCTCAGTGTCAGAGAGGCTGCACTTTGCAGGAGAGACCAGAGACACTTTGCTGCTTTGCTGCTCTCTCTCTCACACACGCTCTGATATTGCGAGCAGAGAGAGGAAAAAATGAAAGTAAGAAAAATCATCATCCTGAGAGCCTTGATCTGCTTTCCTAATCACGCAGCCCAAAAGCACATAATGACTATTCATACTCTGATCAATGCAACGTTTTCCAGCCATAAATTCTGAATCCAGTTGATTTCCTTACTGAGTTTCATCATTTGCTCTGGTGCCTTTTGTCCCCCCGGTGTTTCCACTCCTTTCATGCCCTGATGCAAAGCAACTGGGGGGGAGAGGAAGGGGAGGAAAAAAACAACACAGGGAAGGGATAAAAAAAAAAAAAAAAAAACCACAACAGATCTCTGAATCTTCCTAGCACAGGATCTGTGTCTGTCTCCGTCTCTCCCTCTCAGTCTCTCCCCTCCCTCCCTCCTCCTCCTCCCTCAAAACCTCAAGGTCCTCAGCAATCTTCCCCCTCTGGATTGCACGGAAACGCTGGAGCCCTGTGCATTACTGCAGCCCTCGGAGCAGCCCCGAATCCCTGAGACACAATTACAGCGTCCCCGAGCAGCTTCGGAATCAATATCCTCCCTAATAACGCCGGGGAAACTGAAAGCATGATGGTGCATATGGGCAGGAAGGAAGAGCCCGCTTGTCACTGCAAGCACCAAACCCTCGTCTATCAAGGGCTTGTTAAAGATGCAGCATCTTAAAGGAGAGAAAATGATAATAATAATAATAAAAAACCGAGAAACGAGGGGAGAGAAAGGGCTGGATGTGCCCGAGAGCCCAAGCGCTGCCAGGCTGCTGCAGTGTGGGGGTTAAGGGAGGCTACAAACCCCCGGCTCCTATTTATAACAACAACAACAACAACATCCTCCTGTTCCAGGGGACAGTTCCAGCCAAGAACTGTCCCCAGCACTCAGCATCACTCCCCAGCACCGGGGATGCAGCTGGGCAGCCCAGGTGCTGCCGTGGCTGGGATGTAGTGGGGATGTATTGGGGATTTATTGGGGAGCAGAGCACAGCAGCCCCAGCAGGTGCCTCTGCCCAAGGGGCATCTCAAGGCTTTGAAAGAGACATTTCTGCCTCCAAACTGAGCCTGCCAGGACCCTGCCACCAAATCCTGCACTGGGGATGGTGCAGAGCCCAAAGGCAAAAAGGCACAGCAGAGCAGAGGGAGCTCTCAGCACCCACATCCCGGCTGCCCGTCCATACAATCGGGATTTTCCCACTCCTCCTGCCTCAGTTTACCCCTCACACAACTGCGTTTCCCAAGCTCGAGGGTAGCAGGGAGCATATCCAGAGCCTGTCCACAAAATCAGAATTTTCTCTGTCCATACAATCGGAATTTTCTCTCTCCATACAATCAGAATTTTCCCACTCTTCCTGCCTCAGTTTACCCCTTTTACAACTCCTGCCCAGCCACTGTCAGCTCCCCAAGCCTGGGGCTCGCAGGGAGCACACCCAGAGCCTGTCCACACAATCGGAATTTTCTCTGTCTATACAATCGGAATTTTCTCACTCCCCCTGCCTCAGTTTCCCCCTCTCCAAGCTCAGGGCTGGCAGGGAGCACTCCCATAGCCCTCAGCTCCCTCCCCCTGCCGTGCTCCATCCCTCGGTGCTGATTTTCCTGGAAGCTTTGCCCGGTGCTGCAATCCCCAGCGCTGGAGGCCACGATCACACATCCTGCTCCTCCGCAGCCGGGGCTGCTCCCAGCCAGGCTCTGTGGCTTTGGGACCAGCTCCAGTCTGTGCTCTGCTGGGCTGCAGGCAGAGCAGCCTCCACGGCAGGAGCTGGTGACAGCAGCACGGGCTCCATGTGACAGCCCTGGGATGTGAGCAGTGAAGATTCCTCGCGTTCACAGCTCTGCCAAGGCTCCTGTTCCCCCCTCCCGTCCCTCCCGCTGCTCCTCTCCCACCCCCGGGCCCATCTGCCGGCAGCGCTGCTCCCTCGGGGCTGCCATGCACTGATATGCACAGATATTCACAGATATGCACTGCTATTCACAGATATGCACAGATATGCACAGATATTCACAGATATTCCCTGCTATGCACAGATATTCACAGATATGCACTGATATGCACAGATATTCACAGATATTCCCTGCTATGCACTGATATTCACAGATATGCACAGATATGCACAGATATTCACAGATATTCACAGATATGCACTGATATTCACAGATATGCACAGATATGCACAGATATTCACAGATATTCCCTGCTATGCACTGATATTCCCAGATATGCACAGATATTCCCTGCTATGCACTGATATTCCCAGATATTCCCACTTGGCACAGATATTTCCAGATATTCACAGCCATTCCCTGCTACGCACTGATATTCGCAGATATTCCCACTTTGCAGATATTCCCAGCCATTTTCAACTACTCACAGCCATGCCCAGATATTCCCACTTTTCACAGACATTCCCAGATATTCCCACTTTGCACAGATATTCACAGCCATTTTCAGCTATTCACAGCCATGCCCAGATACTCCCACTTTTCACAGATATTCACAGCCATTCCCAGCTTTCCCAGATATTCCCAGATATTCCCAGCCATTCCCTGCCCATTCCCAGCCATTCTTAGTTTTCTCAGCTATTCCCATGTCATTCCCATGTCATTCCCAGATATTCCTTGCTATTCACAAACAGTCCCTGCTATTCCCCTGCCATTCCCTGATTTTCCCAAGCCATTCCCAGCTATTCCCTGATATTCCAAGCCATTCCCTGCACATTCCCAGCCATTTCCTGCTATACGCATATATTCCCAGCCATTCCCACACACCCCAGCCCCATCTCCCCCCCGGCCAGGGGCAGGGCAGGACCAGGATCCCGCAGAGCTCTGACCTGGCCCCAGGTTATTGCCCGGCCTGGCTTCATCACACTGCAGTTCCACTGATAACGTCTTTCACTCTCAGCTGTGATACGAAAACCTGCCCTGATCTGGCTCCCTTTCAGCTGCAGAGCTCTGCAAGGAGGCAGAGCAGGGACTGGGGAGCAGAGCCCCAGATACCTGCCCATCCTCTCGGGTGATGCTCTGCACCTCCTGCAGGTGCAGGGCTGATCAGAGCCCCACATGTGCCTGCCCATCCTCTCGGGTGATGCTCTGCACCTCCTGCAGGTGCAGGGCTGATCAGAGCCCCACATGTGCCTGCCCATCCTCTCGGGTGATGCTCTGCACCTCCTGCAGGTGCAGGGACTGGGGAGCAGAGCCCCACATGTGCCTGCCCATCCTCTCGGGTGATGCTCTGCACCTCCTGCAGGCGCAGGGCTGAGCAGAACCTGCCTGGGGCTCTGTGCTGGATGAGCAGCAGGCACTGAACGCACAGCCCGGCTCTGGGAGGGGGCTGAGGCATCCAGAGCTGCTCTGCCAGCTCATCTGCAAAGCAGATTTGGGTTTGCTGCTGCTGCAGAGTCAGGGGCGATGGGCACGGGCTGCTCCCACGCTGGCTCTGTGCAGGTGAGGGCTCAGGGCAGCAGCAGGACAGCAGCTGGGCGCTGCCCAGCTGGCACAGCTGGCACGGCAGCCAGCCCGGGGCATGTTTTGTCTCCTGGCTGCTCTAATCCTCAGGCTCCCCACGCTGAGCAGAGCCAGCCCAGCTAAGCAGCCCAAGGCTCTGATCAGCTTCCAGCAGAGCCTCAGGCTGGGGGATTAGAAACCCTATCCCCAGAACCCCCAAAGGCACAGGGGGGCTTCGTCCCACCCTGCGCAGGGCTCTGCTCCAGGGACACCCCTGGGCACGGGGGTCACCAGGCAAGGGAATCAGAGAGGGCTGGGCTGAAGGGGCTGCAAGGGGCCCCAGTTTGGGCCCGAACTGCACAATGGGGAGGGATGGGGACCTGTCTCACGCTCCCCACCCAGCTCTGGGGCTGCTCTGAACGATTCCCGGAGCACAGAGTCCTGAGCAAACAGAGAATGGAGCCAAGTTCCACGGGAAAGCACCCAGGCTGGGCCAGCCAGCATCCACGGGAGCACAGCCCCTCTCCCACCTCCTCCCCATCGTTTTAGGAGAGGGGGAAAGGGAAAACCATCCTCCATCTCCTCCTCATCACTTCAGGAGAGGGCAAACCATCCTCCATCTCCTCCTCATCACTTCAGGAGAGGGCAAACCATCCTCCATCTCCTCCTCATCACTTCAGGAGAGGGCAAACCATCCTCCATCTCCTCCTCATCGTTTTAGGACAGGGGAAAGAGCCATCCTGCCTGGCTCTGAGCTGCAGCCCTGAGCAGGACAGTCCCCACTGCGATGCCTTGGCAGCCTCTCCCTGCTCTCCTTTGGCAGGGACAGCTCCCAGAGAGGAGCTGTGAGCCCATCCCGGCCACTCCTGCTGTCCCTGTGCCCTGGGACACCCTGGGGACACCCTGGGGACACCCTGGGGACACTCAGGCCCCAGGGGTGACCCAGAGGGAGGAGCAGGGGATGCTGGAGCCATCCTGCTGCCTCTCATCCATCGGGGAATGTGCCCCAGCACCCCCCTGGCTCCCAGGCTCGCCCAAAATTCATTTTTACAGTGAGCACCGAAGGCACAGGGAGGTGGTAAATATTCATAGTGCGAGAAAGGCTCGTGGAAAGGATATACTGCACTTAAGAGAGAGATGTGAATTAATTTTATATGCTGCAGAGAGGCTTTTTAGCAATCACAAACTTGTGAATCTCAACTTTCTTTTAGAAAAGCTCTAAAGGACGCAGCTGGGAGGGTGGGCTGGAAGTCCAGGCTCATTTCCCTGCCTGGAAAGGAGCAGGAACAGCGGGAATTCTGACAAACCAGAGACACGGGCACAGCCAGGCTGTGCATTCGCCATCCCTGGCAGTGCCCAGGCCAGGCTGGGCAGGGCTGGGAGCAGCCTGGGGCAGTGCAAGGTGTCCCTGCCATGGCAGGGGAGGCTCTGGGTGCTCCCTTTAAATTTAATTTTAATTAA